CAAATCGGGTCAGAGTCGGGTTAGAGTCGGGTTTCAGTCGCGGGTTGGAGTTGCGGCAGGGTTGAACATTACCAACTGCACAAAGTCAACTACCATATTCTGACATGTAAAGCTGAGCAATATTAATTGTACAATATCAAAATAACATACAAAAATTATTTCTCAGATTACAAGATCACCGACAAAAAGTAATAATAACCTCTTCTACACCGATTAATACAACACGTGATACACAATGCAATTTGGATTTGTTATGTTGGCAACACGAACTCGACTCTTGTCGTTTCCACCGAACCTCAATTGAACGCTACCCTAAAATTTTGTAGGTTAGAGTTCGACTAAACCTTTGGTGTTTTCACCGTAAAAGCGCTCACCCCAACCCGACTCTAACCCGACACTGACCCGATTTGAATCCTCGACGGAAACGTAGTCATTTATATAACTTTAGCGCGTATGTATTATTCTTTGTACCTTAGGTTGGTATCTTTTTCTACATTAATTTTCTTTATTAAAGTCCCTAGGATAGTGCATCATCGCCATCTTTAAAAAGGATGACGACCATCTTGAATCATTTTTCACGGGTTGTTGACACGGGTAGATCACAGCCGGTTGTGAAAGTGTTTCGCGATGTAAAATTAATTTTAATTAATAGCTGCAAATAAGTAATGATTATTTAGAAATTACAATTAAAAGCGATGTCGAGTCATCCTTTTTACATTATCGTGCAAGAATTATCATACATGAAAGTGTAAAAAAATTTGTGGAAACAAGCGTCTGTCACGAATATAAGCAATTTTGACAGAGCTAAGTTTCAAACCGTAATTGTTTATATCCAAATATTCATTTCGAAGAAGTATTTTTTCGGTTGTGTTCCTTCCTTGTGAAATAGAAGAAGCCAAACTGTTAGAAGAAAGAAGATAAGAAACGTTGCAAATACATCTTCTTAAGGAAAATGGTTTCGTGCACATGGTGACACCTCTGGTTAGTTTATGCATTCTATAAACAATTTGTCATATTTTCTTCGCAAATAATTTTCTTCGATCGCGACGGTTCTTTCCGTCGTAAGTGAATCTTAATTAGGGAATCGTGCATCGAAATCAATGGCTCGTCCATAATACGTACTATTATACGTTTTTGCAAGGCAGGAATTCAACGGTTGCTATAACTTATAATGGCGAAATGCAACGTATCTTTATTCGAAGTTTTATAAATGTTCGGTAAAAAGATTAAATTATTCGTGTATCGTAATAATTATAGTCCTATTTAAATTGTTATATACGTATAGTTTTTTTATCGATGCGTTATACGATATAGATTTAAATAATATTTCGATTTCAATTTATCCCCTGTTTATTTTCAACTTAAATCTGAATCGTTATCGCAACGAATATTGTCAAAAAATTCAATCCTGAAAATATCCATCTTTTTTGGGAGATGAAATACAATTTTAATGATCAAAATCAAAATTAAAGTAAGATATTGTTAATGGTTTCGGATAATAAGTTCGTCTTTGTTTACGTCGAAAGCATAATATAATAATAAAAGATAATAATATTTTCACTGTTTTTATTTTTCTTTGCGCGTACATATAGTTTCTACGTATATACATATACATACACACGTACGTACACCAAAGAGTGTCGACACTGTTTGAGCACAGGATTGTAGTAAAATAATCATTACATAGATATTTTTTAAGGAATTTACACTGTCGAAGTAAATTTGACGATTATGGATACGAGGAAAAGATCTTTGCTTAATTATAGAATATGTCGCATCGTTTCTTCTATTAACATTATATCGGTATGAAAATGTAATAAACTTGTCGAGTTTCCATATAATATTTTGTAAAATGTATAATTTCTATATGTACTATTTTACAAAGTTTGCTATAGATGTATACACAATTTCTTTCTTTTTTTTTCCTTTTTTTTTTTAATTTACGTATGATACATTTGCATGTTATCTAACGAGAAAGAAATATTAAAATTAATACTTAACATTTAATTTGCTGTTGCACGTAGAGTATTCTGGTATTGAAATATAAAAGGATAAATTATTGATTTTAAATGATACATTAAATATATTATAATAGCATTATATAAATAAGAGAAAGTTGCTGCATTAGCCTCGTTGTTTATTTTAAGCCACATTTAACTTTGATCTATTATTACAAAGGTGCACTCTTTATGTACAAAGTACATAATATAAGATTATAATATACTTCCACTTTTCATACTTCAACTACAGAGAAAGGATTCAAGTATTGATTGCAGGAGCATGGTGTGCTATGGCAATAGGAGGAGGGTGAAACCCAGACAAGACCCCACCTCTTTATACTATGTATTCCATTTAAGTTTAGCTTTAATCATTTTGGACAATTGCATTTAAGTAAAATTCCATACAATACTTTAGTATAAATAAAATATGTTCTTCCCTTCAAAAATATGTATTTTCAATATTTCTAAAACGATGTTATATACAATTTTTAATTATTGTAAATGTTACTATTTACAAGTCAATTTAACACGCGCATAAACGCGCGCGCGCGTGCGTACATGCACGCAATTAATAATTAATGTTAAATTATGATAGTTGAACTTTTAAGTGCAAAAATAATTATACCTTATAAGTGTTGCAGCTTACGATGTATTTCTTTCAGATCATTAAAAGGATGATAAATATAAATGATACATAAATGACAATGGGCTGAAATATATCAAACTATAAAATTCTTCATTTTTATATACGGGAGATACAGGTAATATCTCGTACCCTCGGTTAAACTTCTTTATATAAAATAACTTGAATTATTTTGTTATCAAGGAAAATCAGCCATGGCAACTGTGGAAGAAAAGAAAAGAGTTGGCGGCTCAAAGGTTTCGGCCATTGCTAACATCTTTCAATCGAAGCCTCAATTGGATAATTTAAGTCACAGAACAAATAACGTACTGTCGGATGGTTTCAAGGAACCGACTGTACCTTTGAAAGAATCCCCTACCCAGGTTACCGTCGTTAGGACTGAAAGTCACGTGGCCCGTTTCAATAATGCGCGTGCACTTTTTGAAAAACTTGGAGAGGAAAATAAACCGCATAAACCGTAAGTGTATACAGTGTCGAATGAAAAATAAATTATAACGGATTGTACATTCACGTTTCAATTCTTTTTCCTATACAGGGTAGACAGGATTACGAAACCTAGTAATTTACATGGTTTAAGATCACGTTCTAGTTCCGCAAATTCTGGATCGGGTTGTACGTCTCCAGCTAGATCACCTCGTCCACGATCTCCGTCACCTCCGGGAGCTAGAGATCACTTGAGTAATTGGAGCGCGAGTGTACCGGCTTTAAACGCTGAAAGACATTTTGAAAACGGTCATAACCATGGTTTAGATAATTTGTCGGATAAACATAAATCGCGCGCTGCGCAGGGAAAATTTGACAAAAACTATGGCAAAGAAAATCGTTTAGACGATCGTCCGGAAAAACCGGAGAAACCTGAAAGAAGATTAAATTCGAAAGAATTAATTGAGAAACAAAAAAATTGGACTAGTCACTTCTCCAAAACTAGACCAAGCAGATATAATTCGGATCCGAATAGATCGGTAGTTCAAACTTCTTTGAATCAAACTGCGAATAAAATCAGTATAGAATCTTCCTCTGTAGGACATATACAGAGTACAGTAACTACTGATAGCGAAGAGAAAAGATCAACAGATGTTTCTACTAATTCGGCTACAAGGTCTGCCAGTTTCTGCTCTGCTAGATCATCGGTTATATCTCCACCGCCACCTCCGCCACCGACAAGAAATTCTTCGAACGTAAGAAAAGAAAGACCGGCTAGTATCGCGGCTGTATCTCCATCGGATCTTCCTGGTAGTCCAGAATATGCTACGATAAATAAATATTTTGATACTTCCCCGACTATACCTGAATACGCTGTTGTGCAAAAGAACGCGAATGTACAAAACAAGCATTTCCAAAGAAATCCGGAACAACGAGACGTCGCCAAATGCGCGGTTGTTCCTACATCGGAAAAGGCACAAGACGCGATTGTGCCGGAATATGCTGTGGTGCAAAAGAATACTGCAGCCAAAGCGCTTTCGCGAAACGCGGAAGCATCGAAAAATACTTCGGCGCAACATTCGAAAGGGTTAAATAACATTGAAAATTCTGTCTTGTCTTCTAAAAGTACTCTCGCTAATTCGAGCATTGATATTTATTCCCAAACAAAATCGCACGTTTCTTACGAGAGAAATTCCGATATATCTAGTCCAACGAGGAGTATGTCGATAGAGAATATTCCTAGTATTGCCGTGGAAAATAAAACGAAGAAAAATAACGATTTACTCGACACTCCGGAGTATTTAAATTATCCTTCGAATATCGTCCGTTCACCGCCTAAAACTTCCGAATGGAGAAACGAATGGTTAGCGAAGAATGATGAAATTTTGAAAAAAGCAGCAGATTTAAAATGTTCTAGGGAAGATATAGAAACGAAAAGTGAAGTCGTTAGACCTGATCCAAGACCGGATTGGGCAAGACCGTGTATAAATACTGTGAGAAAGAAAGACAGTTTAATGGAAGAAGGAAAAGAAGAACCATCCAAATCTCCAGATCCGGAATTAAGACCACCTTCTGGAGGTACGGATAGTGCTTCTTCTAGTATGAGCTCCCCTAGCTCCCCTTCCAAGGATAGTAAGGAGGAGAAAGCAGATAAGGAAATGTCTGAAAAATTTCAAGCGGGTAGAGTATATGAAAATAATTATCAATAACGTGATTTAAAATCATCTATACGGACGTATGTAACAACAAATATATGTTTTATATATGTCTGTGATAAAATACGTATGTAAATTGGTAGTCTAATCGGTATGTTATATTTCGATTTTTTTTTTTTTTTTTTTTTTTTTTTTAATATTTTTTTCTCTCTTTCTTTCTAATTTCTTCGATTACTATAAAACAGTTGTTTCATAAAATGTCTAAATTCCGTTCTTTTAATATGGCAGTGTGCCAAAATTCTAAAAAGTAACAGTACAGGAGGTAACTTTCCTCTTTCCCTCTTTCCTCCTCTTCTTGATCTTAGTTCCACCTACTGGTTCAACAGTATTATTTATAGAAATGTCTGTGTATTCTGCTCTGTTTCTGTCCAGTTCTACTTTACACCGTTCGCTTCAGAAAAGTATTTTATGAATTCTAATAATTTTTTTAACCGTGATCGTAGAAAGATAAATCGTTTATTCGAAAATTAATTACTACTTTCAAAGTATTTACTTCGTAAGAAATGAGTTTACCTAAAATATGAATTGGAGATAAATCGGTTGAATTCGCTGAAAACGATATGCATTATTTTACAGAATGAACGAAACTTCAGTTTATAATAATATTCGTCAGTGTGTTTTTAAAAAACTCTAAAAGTGTTTACTTTGTTGAAATGGTGTTTTAAATATTCAAACCGCTGAACGATATAGCGCAACTCCATCTTTCTGGAATATGTGTTTCGTTGTAGTTTTTTGTATTAAAATTGTATTAAAACTCTTTAAAGTGTTTAAGGTTATAAGCTTATCGTTAAAGAAAAATTATTATTTTCAATCTTATAGCATATTACGTTTTCTTTAATTATTCGAATTGTTTATCAGTTTATGCGCACGATAAAAAAAATACCATGTGTCTTCGATTACTTTGCATTGATTGTCGAGGTATTTTATAATGTTCTTTTTTTTTTTTTTTTGTGAAACACGTTCCATTTATTTGTTACATGTATCTTGTATCGTAAGCGATGGTTCTATATTGTGATGTTCTGTTTTAAGGTCGTAACAGCTATGATTTGCAACCGGAAGAGCAAGAAAAACCTGCTATATATACAGAAAATATTTCTGAGAAGGATAGTTTGGACAAAAATTCTAGATTTAATGAACCAGATACGACCACGGTTATTCGACGTTCTCACGTACGCGTTGATCTTCAAGCAGCAGGTTTGGGACAACGACCACCGTCCGTGGTTAGTTCGGATCAAGAATACCCACCTTTAGAACATAAGGATATACCGATACCTTCGCCATATGTAAAGAAAATGCAACAGAATCAAGAGATGCAAAATAATGAAATTATGTCTCGGTTGAAAACTAACGTAGAAGAAAATGCGCCGATGAAAACCGATTCGAAAAGTTGCCATACTAAGATATCTCAAGATAGCAACCAAGATCATGTACGAGTAAATTCAATGATTACAGAAATAAATCAAAATGTAGTCTTAGATAATAATAAGTCGAAGTCGAATGTTGTAAACGAGAGGCATATATTTACCGAAACTGTTTGTCAAAAGACAGTGTCTAATGCCAGAAATGATCAAATCAAGATCTCTGTCCGAGAAAAGTTAGCGAAAAATAAAGAGGAAGTATCTGGGAAACGTTCGAGTTTCGGTGAAATCGAGAACAAAATTGACCAGACAGACAAAGCCGTACTAAACGCGAGTCAGTGCGCGATACCATCAAATATTCGTAGTACCGAGAATTTGTCAGAAAAATCTATCATTAAAGAAGTAGAATCCGACGAAGCAATGCATTCGGAAAGTATTTCTAAATCGATCTCGGCAACTACCAATAGGAAGGAATACATAACATTGGTAGGGGATATAGTATCGTTAACAAAACCTAATTCGCAATCGATTTGCAGTGCTTTGAATAGAAGTATAGAAGAGTCTGATCAACCGCAAACAACATGGGAGCAGGAAAAGCAGAAAGCTGATCAATTAGCAAAATTAAGATTGCAAGAAAGTGTTTCTGCGAACGCGGTTCAACAAATGATGGTATCTCAAAGTGTGTCGCCAGCTATCGTGCCTCAGCACGTGGAAAGAAAACAGTCAACTGAACATGTTGTGTCTGAAAGTAGTGTTCACGATGACAGTGATTCTAGTGATACTAGAACTATTACCAATTTCGAAGCTCCAGCGATAGATACGTCGAATGTTGTCGAACAAATTAATTCTAAGACTGTAATCGAGACTTCTTCCAAAACTGTTATTGGTCAAACAATTCCTGTAACGCCGGATACTATGACACCTGACGAAGCCGAAAATCTGCTAAGTTCTCGGTAAGTTCACAAATAAAGTGATTTATATTATGAAGTATATTCGATTTCGCAAATAACGACCCGAGTTGTATATTCCAGTTAATATGCTTAATATTTTATATAGCGCATTAATTGTTATATATGTATATATATATACATATTATAATTATTATTTAGCAAATAATTTCATAGCTAATTGCAAACAGCTTAATAACTCTTATTTCCTTATTTTATTAAATTCTAATGTTTTCTTCTATTCGTGTTTATTTAAATGACTTCGAACAAACTTGTAACGTACTGGGACAAAATACAGCATCCTAGAGAAAAAAATAAGGTAAGTTTATTCTTATTGTACGGTTAAATGTTTTATTTAACGATCATACTTTGAATCGAGAGAAAGCTCCAATGAATCGTATAAACAATGAATTAGACAAGGATCAGCTTTATTGTCGGACGAGGAAGCACAAGAAATAGCAAGACTACTATCTCCTACTGCGCATAACGATGTTGTAAGTGAAGAAAATTCTATCGATAAGAATAAAGATATGGAGAAAGAGAGAGAAAGAGACGATCAAGATAATACACCGGATTGGCTTTCCGATGTCCTGTCTGCTCCTGATACCAGTCTTATTAATAGCACCACTAATGATTATAGGTGAATCAGTTTGGTCTTTTATGTTTTTTGCGTTTAATATAAATATTTTGCAGCTGACTTTGTCTACTTATTTTAACTAATTTCATTAGTTGCATCCGTATAATAATTTTGCCAAAAAGTTACGATGATTTCTCTTACGAAAAAAATTTAATTTAACCGTCCAAATTTTTAGTTTGTCCCATAGATCACGTAGCGATTTAACGATAGACTCGTTGACGGAAAGTCAAGTGGGTTCTGTAACGGGTAGCGAAAGTGGTTTGCTTGGATCTGTTAGTAGTTTAAACGATACTCACGAAACTAACGACGAAACGGAGACCGAACAACAAGACGAGTACATCCCTCCGACACCGGGCAAAGTTGTAAGATTATGCATCGATAAATAAATCGAATTCATTTTCACGCGTTTCTTCGAAGAACGAAATAAACATGGTCATTTCCTTTCAGATACTTGTAGAAAATGGTGTACATTATTTCGAAGATGGTCATTTTTGGATGGAAGTCGCCGGTATACCTGAATCAGATGACGAGAAAGAAGATTATCCGATAAGTATGCCTGCGAAAAAAATGACCAAAGTTTCGTTTGACACGGGACCAATGAGAGTTTATTCTACGCATTCGGTAAACGAGTACGATCGTCGGAATGAGGATGTAGATCCTGTTGCTGCGAGTGCAGAGTATGAACTTGAGAAACGAGTTGAAAAAATGGAGGTATTTATATGCAAATTCGATAAAAATGTGCAGTTTCGTTGTGGGGCTCGTTTCTATATAATTTATTAAGGGACTTTTAAAACATTTATGAAATTAGAAAATTGGATATAGACACTTTCGAGTTTCCGGCGACAGGGTTTTGATAATCGAATTCTTCTTCCCTACTTTTATAACCGTTCAGAACCATGTAGCAAGACGGCACTGGATATTCCTGTTTCTATTATATATAGTTACACTGTATAAACGTTGGAAACATTTATTAGGTGTTTCCAGTGGAACTTATGAAAGGACCGGAAGGTCTTGGTTTAAGCATAATCGGAATGGGTGTTGGAGCGGACGCCGGTCTTGAAAAATTGGGCATATTTGTGAAAACTATCACAGAGAAAGGTGCAGCTGCGCGAGAAGGCAGGATACAAGTAAACGATCAAATCGTTGAAGTGGATGGAAAATCTTTAGTTGGCGTTACGCAAGCGTATGCAGCCAGTGTTCTTCGTAATACCTCGGGTCTTGTGCGTTTTGTGATCGGCAGAGAACGCGATCCGGATTCAGAAGTAGCGATGTTGATTCGACAGAGTCTTCAAGCGGACAAAGAAAGAGAGCAACAAGCTAACTCTGCTAGGTACAGAATAAATTGATTTCAGCTCAACCGAGATTTTTTACATAGATTTTTTACGATCGTTTCCCAATGATGGTTTATCCTTGCTCTCTAATGTCTATGACGACAACCATGGCCACTTCAATGACGGCTCGAAGCCTCTTGGGGTACTGAGGGAATTAATAATATTTTAACGTATCAGTAATTAAGAAATGGTTGAAATTATGAAAAAAGAAAAAAAAAAAGAAAAGGTATGAGAAATTATATGTATTTATTATACTCTTACAGAAAACTTAACTTTTCGGATGCTTCGCCTGATGGTCAACGAGGCAACGAAGAGGTTTCTGTTGGAAGTATGGGTGCGATACCAGGTTCACCGGCTATGTCATCGTGTTCGGAAGGGGAACCTCCGCAAAGCCCGATAGAAAATTATTTAACTTCTGGTCGAAGTAGATCTCCTATTATCAGTTCATCGATACCACCGCACGCATCTGGTACTACGCAAAGCGACGTTGACAGCTTAAGACTACTTTTACAGGAGGTATTGTATTCCTATTAATAAAAAAAATTATCTGAATTAAAACATGCGTGATGTATATCGAGTACTCGTAGTGACTGCTAAGTTTTGTTGACGTAGTTCATTGTTTGTAAATTCCGTTTTATACGCACAATTAATGAGAAATATATGCATCGGTCTCGTTAATTATCATTTATTTTATTTTAGAGATACAGTAGATATATAGTTCATTTATATTTATATTTATAGATAATTTATGTAATGTCATCTTGATCGTTATGTCAATGAATTTGACGTAAAATCGTTATCGTATAGAATAAAATTGTACGCGAAGAAATTCCTTACACGCTGTATCGTGTATATATGTACATATATATATATATATATATATATGTGTGTTCTTTACATATCGCTGCTTTATGTGTACGAGCACTTTTTCATAGGTTTATAAGCGTAAATATATTTGTGGTTTTGCTTTTATGCACTGTGTCCGTTGTTCACTGCTTGCAGAGTCAGTATAAACTAGCATTAGCAGATGGAGAGGTGGAAAAACTCAAAGCTAAGGTAATGAAATTTAACAAAAAGTTCTTATCGTTTTAATAACAAAACACCGCACTTTCTACGTATAAAGTAATTAATTCCTTCTTCGTGAAATGTTTTGTGCCGATCGTGCTTGTATTTATAAATTGTATTTGTAATAATACGCAGCTTTGTATTACATTATGCGATACAAAGAAATCGTGTATTTGGTTCGAGAAATATTAATTTGCATGTGTACGTGCATGTTGGTATGCAATAATGTATCTAGGCCCCAGAATCCGAGTGTATTAAGTCGTGTTTACTATATCGTGGAAGAGAGAGAAAATTATTTATTTAAGTAAAACGGACATCATGCACACGGGCTATGGGCTCCAGATTACGTGTTAAGGAATCGTGAAATCTATCGAAGATGTTTATGTTGATAGCTCGTAGATTTGGAAAACAGTGGAGCCGGTAGTGAAGAATATGCGGCAAAATTACGTGAATCTGGATTACGACTTCACGAGTCCGAAAGAACGTTAGGAGCTGCTAGACAAGATTTAGCAGCGGCACGAGAAATGCTTTCGCAAGCGACGACGCAAAACGCTGCTCTGCAACAGAAATATGCTCGAGCGAGAAGAGCAGCTCGCGAATTACGAGCAGACATTGCAGCTAGAGATGAATTTTATCAACAATTGTTGCAAGAAAAAGATACAGAATACAATGCTCTTGTTAAAAGTTTAAAAGACAGGGTATGTTAATGATTATCGCGAAGAAGAAAAATATTCTAAGACATTCTCTGTTGTTATATGATTGGAAATGAATTTTAGGTAATCACGTTGGAAGTTGAATTGACAGAAACACAAAGAAGGTTCGGATTGCCAGTAAGATTACCTTATGATGGAGCTACGGCTAGAATAGTTACGCCGCAACTAAGTCGTCGGCAATTACCTCCTCCCCCTTCATCAACTAGCTGTCAACTTTCAGACACAGAGACGTCAGATCTTAGTAGCCCAGATGACGGAGATAAAACGGCAACCGTGGAAAGAAAATTACCAATTCCGTTACCGGTCAAGGAGGAATTAGATCGAGCAGTACCTGCTCATCGACTTCTTGATAATTCTGCTGGAAAAAGTAAGGCTGAACTTGCGAGTAGAGGGGGACTCGCAAATCGGCAACTTCCTAAACGATCCGGTGGCCTTAGTAATAGTAGTTCTGTACGTATCTATTCCGTACTATCGATTTAAATAATGTTCATCGTTGCAACAGCTTTAAAACCATTGTATATTTCTGTGTAAATTTATCGTTATGTACATATCACGATGTTAACGATACAAACAATACACCGTACAACCGCTCTTATTTATCTCGCACCAAGATATCTTGAATCTTCGAATTTTCACATTTCTGAATCATCGACTCGATTCTTCGTATTTCTAATATTTCCAAATTCTCTGTAAAAGTTATAATTATTCTACATATGACATGCACGCTACAATAACCTGACAAAGGCAGCGTGTCATTAAGATCGTTCCAATGTAAATCCCTTTAAGAAAAGTAATTTCAATCATTTTATTCTTGCAGGACTATGGTTTGGATGAATCAGGTGACAATACCGACGAAGATTCATCTTCTAAACTACTTTCTCAAGATGCAAGTAGTAGATCGCCGAATGACTTGACATCGAAACAATCAAATTTGAGTTCCTATTCTAGTAGTTCTTCGATTAGTTCGCTAAAAAGTAAGCACATGGAACCTGCTCATCCAACGACGATTCGACAACATAGTACTATTAGTTCGCAAGTTAGAGCGATGACGGAACAGAGTTGGCCACAATCTCAAAAAAGTATGTTTCTTTATTCCGTGATAGAACGAGTAGAGAATATCAAATTTATAATGACTCTGTTTCTAGACTTAACTGGACCGCCAGCATCGTTAGCTGAACAGTTGAAACAAGTATTAGCAGAGAGAGAAAGACGTCTTGGCGGAAACGATATGTCTTCGTCGAGGGAAAGTTCCGGAGATTTTAGCGATTTAAATAATCCGCATGCCAGTGATCCAGCTTTAGTTACTCATCATTTAGTGGAAGAAATACGACAAGCTGTAAACGAGGCCAATCAAAGAGGTAACGTGTCTAATTGTAGCTTAAACAAAATCGTTTATACTAAAGTTATACATCGTTAAAAGACGTTATTTAACTTTACAGTGAAAAAAGCTACTATTCCTTCGTCAAATTTAATTGGTAGTGGTTCGACGCCTTGGCATCATCCAGGTAGTTCGCCTTCTAGTCTATCTTCTGGTGGATCAGTAAGCCCACCTGCAGTTGATCCTAGTCCATCTAAAACAGGTATTTTAGGTATTCTAAAACAGCATAAATAATGAACGATCATTATTTTTATTTACACCTTTTATATCTCCGATTTTCACCAACAATTTTATTTTCTTCGTGTGTAAACGAAATTATGAATGTAGATACGAGCGAAGTTTGGATGCCTCCTCATCCAAGCGACTTTGGTTTAGGTGACAAGAAGTCTCACTTTTGGCAGAATGCACCAGTTGCCGATTGGTCCAAGGAACAAGTGAGTTTATCTATTAAACAGAATATATGTACAGTACGGTCTCGAAATATGACCTTTCCAAATGTTCTGTCCCATCTCGATTCACGTTCCGTTGATATAGTGGCATTTTCTCTGGGAATTTGGTTATTGAAATAAGAAAGTGTATAAACGAATCAATATACGAACGAACAGTTTCTCAACGGGTCATAGAAAATAGTGTGTGTCATGTAGCGAGACTTCGCTGTGCATTGTTATCGATTAATAGAGATTGTTATATATATTATTTTCAAATTCGTAATTTAACAAATGATGTTAAAGGTGTGTCAGTGGTTATCAGGAATCGGTTTGAAACATTACGCGGCTCGTTTCTTGGAAACTGGAATTAACGGTGGAAATCTCTTACGACTCGAGTCTCGAGACCTGAAAGCTTTTGGTATTTGTCGCGAAGAAAAATCTCACTTGAAACGGAAATTGAAGGAACTGAGAGCACAAGCAGACCGGGAACGTAAAGAGAGGAAAGAAATAGAACGGATGCGACGAAAAGCGGAGAAAGCTGCGCGGAAAAAATAGTTCGTGCGTACATTGATGTACTTGTGTCCTCTATAAAATGCAATAATATTGCACAAAATGTCGGTAATATATTGAAGTCTTATGTACAATATTCCAGTGATGATCGCAACATATTTTCAATTCTTCCATCCGTATTTAATTCTTTGATACCTATTAACCGCTACAGATTGCTATAAGTGTTCTGTGTTCGTTGTCAAAAATTTTAAACTTTCATCATTTATATTCATTGTTAGATTATACAATTCTGATTTTCATCGATTTGCATTTATTTATAATATTTGTGTATTAAATGTCGGTTCACTTATCTAAATAGTATCGGTATTAATTATTTATATAGCGACGATGGATACCAGTTGGTAAGATGAATCGTATGAATGCTATTATGTCAGACGTATGTATGTGATATATATGTATAAAACTCAAGCCATTTAGGTAAATTATATGTAATAAAACTTTGATTATTCTAGATTTTTTTAATAATTGTAAGTATACTTGAAGTAGAAACATAAGTTTCGTCTTATTACACGTTATTTCTGTATTTATTTTTATCACCAATTTTATCGTGTAATAATAAGTTTTCATGAATAATTTGAAACGCTAGTATAGTAGAGATTTACTCTAACTATTACCGAGAAATGTGACTGTCCTCTACTATGTAAATCATGAACTTATCAACGAATTTGTGACTGTCGATACACGGTGTGCGTTATAAATTTTATTGTAGATCGATCAAATTACGTAATAGCTGTATCCTTGTATGTATTTATTTGGTTATCTAAATTCGCTTAGTCCGCAGTTTTCGTCACTAGTAAACAATTACCTTCTTTAATCGATATCCAATAAAGTATTAACGTATTTCTATTATACTATCGTCTTGATGTTTGTATCGATCAATTTTTCTTCCTTGAATTGTACGAAATTTATGTTGTTATATTAATTCACGACCAATCGCTAGAAATCCGCACAATGTCGATTTTATTGCGACGATAACTTTTAAATTATTGTGATGAATTTTGTTTTTAGTATTTTCTATGCATTTCAGACATTCCATGTGATTTTATAATTATCTATCTTTGTTAAGCGTACGAATAGAAAAATATTATAAAGACCTTCAAATGTTTAGGCGAAGTCCCGATTGTATGTAAGTGAGTATCACGTACAGATACATTGTGCATTGAACAATGTATATTAAATACAAAATTAGTATATTAAGGAAAACTCGTTTTTAAACATGATTACGGGACTCGCTTAAGGTACGGTGTAGACAAATGTACCTTATTGTGCGTACACTTATTTATAATAGCATTATAAAGATTTTGTACGATGTTAAGTACTTTGTGCTTCCTTTGTAACTGTCCTTTCTTTTAAGTGTACAACGTGTTTTTCTTGTCGATGAAAAACAAGCTTTCTTTTATATAGAGTAATTAAAGTAGCAAAGTATTTAGCATTGATACAGATTGTACATATTATTATTATTTCTTTATTATTATTATTATTACTATTATTATTAATATTATTATTATTATTACTATTGCTAGTATTGTATAATCTACGTAAAACGATTATGACGTAAGAGGCGTGTAAGAGGCATAACTGTAGTGTCATAATATCTTTATAGCAGATAGATTTTAATTTCAGTGTTTTTTTTTTTTTTTTTTAATTTAAGCGTTTATCAGAAGTCCTCCATTGTTTTAATAATATGATGTATCAGAATATCTTGGAAGCAATCGATTATTATTATTTTTGTTGTTACGTACAACGAAATACGGTAACCGATCAAAAAAAAAAAAAACACGATGTAACATTCTTACGTCTCAGGGTAATCACCGATGTTTTAGGATGTACGTGTGTTCAATGAATGAAAATTTTTACGAATTGGAACGTCTTACAATTCGTTTCTAAATGACTATTGTAATTTCATAGGAGCAGACGTTTGATAAAAAAACCGACTGATTTACGATAAGTTTTTGTAGTTGATTTTTTAAAAAAAAAGAACGACATAAATATGCGACTCATGAAAGGTGAAATTATATTAACGAGACTCGTATGCCATTGTGGGCTGCATATAGTGTTCCAAATGTTTCCGATCGTTTTAAAAGTATTGCTCACAAGAAAGAGATCCAAAAATTAATAGTTCCATGGATAAAGACAAAGAATGTCACAATTGCATAAACGATAGGTTTTTAACAATGTCTATAAAAAGTATTGTCAACAAATACTCCTAAACGTTTTAATTAAAAACAATTCATACAATACGTTTGCAGTCTGTTTCTTTTTACCTGATAAATAAACGTGTCGATAGGAAACGATGATGTGCAGGTGATCAGATGTGACGAGTATGTATACGATATTCGCGACAGGATATGAAAAAATTCGAGTGGAAGGTTGCATGTATCATTCTACGTTCAGATGTTTGGAATTCTAAAACTTCGACAACTCGAGAATTGGGAATTTCTGATATTAAGTTTTAGACTTCCAAGTATTTGTACATAAGCCGTTCAGCAAAAACCAAAATAACTATCTTCACTTTTTCAATCGTTTTTTAGATTGAAGGGCCAAAACATTTAATTACAAATACAAGAGTTCAGAAAGAAGTTTAAATAGCAATTTTGTTTGACGGCGTTAATTGGCTTGATAAATGAACGGCTGTATTTTGATCGCGAGCCGGCAATCTCCGGTACCTGCACATTGCTATACTTCATTTATAATTGTATATTATTTATGTATGTATTCTAACATCTTTCTATGTATCAAAACATATCAATAATGTATGATAATAAAATTCTACCAATCGTCGTATGATCTGTATACGTCTACGGTCTTTAATTAAATAATTCAAACATGGTTACGTAACATAGATTGTATGTATATATATATATATATATGTATATACGTACAATCGCAATAAAGTTTGATCGATATTATTTTGCTATTCGACGGATCCTGTCAGTAGGGTAAGCCGTGTAAACGGGTTATTTTAATCGTTGTAAACGATTGTAAACGATTAAAATTCGTTATCGAAACAAAAAATGCCCAGCATAATTATTAAAGACTATAATTGGCACCAAAGTCCAGAGTTCGTGATATTAAATATACCCATCAGAGGTCATCCGAAGAAAGTGGATTTATTCGTAATCGATAACTATACGAAGGTACAAGTATCTTTTCCGTATCTTTTATCGTGACAATAGTTTTATTCAAATGCGAATAATATTTGTATGTCGTTTGATAACACGACAGATAAGCTTCCCACCATTTATATTGGAATTATTTCTATGGGCTAATGTTGTCGAGAAAGAAAGTATCTGTACCATAACTGATCAAGAGGCGATACTTACTTTACGTAAAGCAAATATTGGCTTAGAATGGCCCACTTTAGAAATACAAAATATCGATAATAATTTTAAACAAGAATGTCGAAATCAAGCTTTCGAACAAGCGCAAAGGATCGCTGAGACTGTTAAGAAACTGAAAACCGGTAAGTATATCCGCGTATATATATTTATAAATATAAAATGCTTATATTTTCGAATTCACAAATTCTCAGATTTCTGAACTACCGAATTATCAAATGATAATTGATGCATGTGCGTGTATGTGTCGCGTTTAAATGTAAGAAATATAATCTACCGATGGTAATTTTTGTTAGAAAAACGTCAACGTCTGCAACGGGAAGCGGTAAAGGAACAAATTAACGTTAACGCGGCTATATTAAATGAAATAGATGCAATACGAAATACCCATCGGAAGGAAGCTATGCGAGATTTCGAAGACTGGAGATTGAAAGCGGAGCTACCGTTATTGACTAGTGTTCAAGGAGTAATACAAGAAAATAGAAAAGCTTACAAGTACATAAAATACAATGAACATTGTAACCTTGTATGAATGTTTCATTTAAGTTAAGTTAAGCAATTAATATTTTTTAAGACCACCGCTAAAATGGTTCAAAGACAACAATAATACGTTAAAGTTCCGGCCGATGACTAGCGAAGAAATACTTGAAAACGATGCACCTTTAGAAGAACCTGAGCGTAAAATAAACGAGAACGCGAAGAAAAATGATAAAAGAACGGTTGAAAAGAAAATGGTGGAAATACAAGCGGAAGTGAAAAGTTTGAAAGAGGACGATTCTTTCGACGATAACAGTTGTTCCGAGGATTCCGAGTCAGATTACGAATTACGATCAGGCAGTTCAACAGGAAAGATTGAGGGAAAAAGTAGACCCGGATTGGAATCTGTAAAAGCTGTGATAGAAGGAAAGTTGCCGAAAAGAAACAGCATATTCGAAGAACCATCGATATCGGTACCACTGCCCAGAAAGAATGGTACAATTAACGTGACATTTTCGGAACGAACGTTCCCGACTCCGGCTAGAGAAAGTCATCATCTCGAAGAGCAAGAAGTATATATTTCTTTTCTTCTGGCTTTCTTAACCACTAACATTCGCGTAGAAGCGTAATCGTAATTGCCATTGATATAATCACAGTGGTTGCAGAAGCAAGCAGAGGCAAGGCGCAAAATTGGTTTCGATACGAAGGATCTCCGACCGGAAGAACGTGACCCACAATGGTTAAAAGATAAGGGGGAGTAAGGTTTACCGTAATTTATAGACACAATGTTATGCATATGTTTAGTCGTGCGACGAACAAACGCGTTCGGGAGAGCGAGCACGATACACAGATCGTGAGAATTCGCGGTAGACCAAGCATAATCGAATCCGATGATGTTGACAGTTGAGCATTTGGGAATTTGAAATTTCCTGGTTATCTATAATGATACCCTGATCTAGTGAGCAAACTCTTTCTGGGCGTGCATTCCGATGTCGGGATCGGCTTTTCCGTAAGCGCTTGTTCTGTTATTAATAATAACAAACTACCGATTAATTCCTACGATAGCGAGTTTTTTAGAGTTGGAAATCATCTGGGAGCTATCAGCGCCTACTCGTATGGGATTCAAATTAGCGATAGAATGGCATCGCTTTACGCGAACAGATCAGCGGTGCATTACGCGATGGGAAATTACTGTAGATGTATGGAGGATTGTTCAAAAGTAGGTTCAAGTTGCAATACGAAAGGTATATTAAGTTTTAACGTCTATTATGCATTCTCAGGCACTAGAGCTGATGGAACCGAAATGCGAAAGTAATCGAGAGTCAAGAGCCAGGTGTCACGCCCGACGTGGCGCAGCGCTTTGCAAATTATCTGCACCTCAGCACGGTATTCCCGAGTTGGAGGCTGCCTTGAAATTAACGCCGGATAACGAAAGCATAAAACGCGATTTGTTATCCGCGAAACGATACTTCGAGCTAGAAAATTAAAAGGTTTGTTTTCAAGAATGCATTGGTTGAAACGATTCGATTGAGAATTTTCCTACGTTAAGAGTACCGAGGATATAAAAGATCTAGGGATTTAATCTTACGCTTTTATATTATAAATTTATTAATGTTACTTAAAGGAGTTTTAATACTTTATATTACATCGATTAAAATATCACAGTCACAGATCCTGAAGTGTAAGGAACTCGTCTTACCGTACTAATATTAATCTTAATGTTATTTAATTCTTCGATTACAAACATTTTGGTATGGTTTTTAATTTTTTAAAGGGGAAACCATAATAAGTAACTACGGCACGCGAATGTCTTCTCTCTCTTAACGGATTTTACATCGGTCCACTTTCCGTTTACTTTCTAACAAACGATCCGGTTAACAGGATTCAATCGAAATCGATTATTTTCTTATCGATGCATCCGCATTTCGTGTGCTCCAACGCGTGTATCACTTCGTGATGTCTGTCTCGTTGTCGATCGATCGTATGTTTCACCATGAACACGAGACTGACATTCCTGGTCTCGATAGGCGCACAAATTTGTTTAGGATCGGAACAGCATCCAGCCCCGTCGCAACGCGTCAAAACGGTGGAGGCAGGATAAAAAGTTTCGTCAGGGCTAGGACCAACGGTTAAAAGTTTTGACACTGGTATAGCTCTTGGTTGAGGCATGGAACATCGAAATTCGTGAACCAACTGTACGTGATTCAAAAAACCGCTGTCTCTGCAAATGAAACCGATCATTTTCACGCGACTGTCAAAATCATCTGATTAATACTAGTATTTAATTAAATGGAGGTATATACCTGTGATGTCTAGCGATCATAGTAAAAGCGAGACGAACGAAGAATAATAGTAAAACGAAGCTTCTCATTTCTATCCTGAACGAGGAGAGAATATCTTTCGCGAATATAGGTAAAGTCCAGAGGTATCTCCTAATTCTGTCGAAAGATCTTCCCGCTTCACGATTCACAATTGTTCGGGCACCGACGACTATATACCCTCTTCTGCGCTCTGAATTCTTTCTCCTGCTATATATATATGTAACTTTCATCCTCGGCCCGACGCCCTCTGCCCTCCCCTCTTTTTCCGATTTCTCGCCGCCTTTCTTCGTTGTCCTATGACGGTTCGCACCGTCTCCCTCTCGTTTCTCGGTAAACTCGAGGAGGACTCGAAGCAAAGCGTTCCGAGAACATCGTCGAGATAACTATAATTACAACTAGTGGGTCCTGCCTCTCGTTCGAACTGGGACCATATTACGTCGCGTGACTAAGTCATCCTTTCTTCGTTGCTCGTACCTTCTTCCTCTCGTTCGTCTCTTACATACTTCGCAAAATTTTCATCGGTCATCGGTCAAATTATCGGGAGATTCTTCGTTTTCTCTTTCTCGCTACGAATCGCGTCCCAAACATCGTTACTTTTCATTAACATAACATTGATAATAATTAGTCGATTACGTTATTCTTTTATTTTTTTAAATACGTAATTGTACATAGTATAGTACTGATGGAACACGATCCTAATATGTCCTTACATATCGCGTGCTTAATTTTTACGAATAAAAAGGAATAAAAGTGAAATCTGGATGAGCCTGTTCGAGACAACAGCGTGGTTCGAGAAACAGCTCCCCAAACTGCAACGTTATATGATGCGACGGACGACAGGTTACCGTGAATCATCACGATACTGTTGCTGCAAAGTGTCTGATTACGACAAGGTTCATTCATATCGATACCTTTCGTTGTTACGCAAAGTCTATGAGTAGTATGGCTCGAAGTTACGCGTCATGGCTTTACTCGACGAATAATACGTCAGTTCGATGAATTTTCTGTACGAAAAGCGAGAGTCGAAATCGATTGCCTAAATTGGAATACATGTGACGACAGCATCGGTTAACGATGACTCGGAGAATTAACTCGATGGTATTTGATGTAGCGGTACATAAGATCTTTGTGATAATAGAGTTAAAACTATGTATATCTAAGTTCGGAAATTTGGAAATCCGTCGATAAAATATGAATGAGCGTATCATTATTTTTTCTAGGCAAATTGCGAATAAATTGTTACTTGCGACGAGTTCGATAATACACTTCGAACAAAATCATGAGTGACGGTTAAATTGTTGATTTTACAGTGATTGGATCGCGTGAGATTTAGCACGTATGCGAAGCAACAGGCCGATTGATACTTGTCCAACTATTATTTCGTTCTATCCACGTGTTCATAACGGATTGAAATCGCGATGTTGTTGGAATAATGGAACGGTAGGTTCTATTTATAGAAGTGTGAATAAGCGATTTGTGGTAATTCACATGGAAGTAATAGTGTCGCTTCTTTGCCGTACGAAATTGGAATTACAAATGCGTGTAACCGGTAAATCAGATCGTCGCGTTAGGGAGATCCCAGTTACGTCAAATGAATTGCTGGTTCTAAAAGGTAATCGTGTCGTCTGTAAGTGTTATAATAAAAATGATACTACCGTGATATACATAAAACGTTGAATATATTTAAGAAAGAATTCGAATTCTTACAAATTTTTTATGTAAATATTCGTTTTCAAGCAAATGTATCATGTAAGATTTAATGATTTGATGAATTTTATATCGTTATGACAACGCATACACATGTATTTGTCTTAATTCTTTATGGTGCTATTAACGATGTAGAAATCATTCGAGTGAAATTTTCTAAAGAAAGAAGTTTCTGACGCACGCATTTTGACTTTCTATCAAGGTGGAAGTATGGATACGCGTATAAAATATCATTCAATACACGAATGACCAGTAACGAAAACTCGAAGCAAAACTGGTTAGTTGATGATTCACGTCAATCGGTAATATTTTTCTTTTTTCTTTTTCAAAATAAAATATTTCGTTTCCGCTTCGATAATTAATTAAGTTTTTCTTTTAACAGTTTCATAAAAACTTTAACTTATTTTATCTATTATGCACGTAACGTCTTACATTATGAGCATATTGTTTTTACTCTCATTTTTTATTCCTCTTCCGTTATTCTTTCTCAATTTCAATATCGCCGTTATAATATATCACCATCCCTTCGAGAACAATTAAAAATGGAATTAAAGTGGTAATAGGTCTTAGTACGCGTGTCGTCTAATGAATTTATGTAATTAATATTTGCGAGTGTCAAAAGGAAGTGTCGTTTAGAAACAAATAAGGAAAGAGTTCATTTTTCTTGGGGCTGCGAAAGTTCCACGAAAGAAATATACATAAAGGAAATGCGAGGAAATCCGACAAATAACGTTTCATAAATAAAATGTGCATTTTTGTCGTGGGTAATCCCAAATCGTGTTGCTCGTCGAGGCCTCCGTTTGAAATTAAACGAAACGCATTATTAGCCAACTCGAACGAATTGACAAATATGTCATTTTTTTTCTCGACGACTAAAATTTCGAATGTCCTGTGCCTTACCGTAACTAGATAAAATACAAGATATTTATTCTTCGTTTGATAGAGGATATTATCGAACAATTTCGAAATTCTTCTCGTTACGTACGAACAAGATTGTTTTATTACGCGAAGAAATATAGTCGCGCGGATAAAAATAATTATTACAGAGTTAAATAACATTAAGAACGCGATAAAACTGAATACCGTGACGCATCGTAGACAAAAATTTTATTCGATGCTATTTGACGTTAAATTAATGAAACTTTGTCAGGATCTAATCCGGCTCTGACTCGAACCTGACCAATACATTCCGTTCTTGTAGCTTTCGTTTGGCCAGCAGCCAAGTTCCGATAGCGTATTGCTTTTCTGAATTGGCAACTAAGAACGATACCAATCGATTTATTTGATGTTTACGAAAACTTTTTACATAGAAAATATCAGTTAATAGAATTTTATGTTATCTCCGGCGGAGACGAGCGATCCTTTCCATTCTTGCTTCGCTACGTATACGAATACTCTGTCTTTGGCACAGTGCAAATAGGTAATCATCGGTCGAAAAAGAGCGTGTATAATATCTTGCATATACTTATGTAACATGACGGAATTTAACATAAGATAAAAATTGAATCCTGTTGTCTACGACCTGGCTACACCCACGATAGTACATACCCGTTGATGTCCATGGATAGCTAGACAATAGGAAAGAAACCGTCGCGGAAGAATAACTTTGGATGTTTATTTTGTTTTATTTTTCCAGCGATACCCGATCGTAAACCGTTCGTGAAAAACTCCTCGGCACCGAAGAAGAAAGTTAATGTTCCATGAGACACTTCTGCTTTTAGACTTTTCTACTACTCGGAAGATGGTTCATTTTGCAGGGAAGATTAGGTGCAGCGAAGCAAAATCGATTTTCTTTCAGGCATTCATTGAACCCGAGTCCTGATGAATCACGGAAGAAATGAGTCAATTGTAATTTCCAAGGAAACGAGAATGCAACGATAACGTTGTCGATTCAGGACCATACTCTGGGAAACTTCAATGAATCGAAAGCTTGTTTCCGCAATTAAAACGATATTACATATTTATAAGTTATTTATCACCGATGCTTTGTCCAGTTAAGAGAAAATATAGTAAACGTTTAATTCACTGATAAGACGATTAAGTACGTATATGTATATTACGTAGTTTGCCGCTTTCGTGATTACGATGACATACCGAGTGTATGAAAAATAGATTAAAAAGTAAAGAAAGTCGAAGTTCGACTTTGATAGAAAGCCGTTTCTCGTTTTATCGAAAGGTTAGTCGATCTCAATGACTAAAACGTGTCGAACAGTCGAGTTGCTCGTAAGACTACAGTATGGAAATTCGAAACGAGTTTATTAATCGTGATTTGTTATTGTTCGTTCAGTTAAGAATAGTAACTGTGTTGTCGCGTTAAGAGATACGTTCGTGTCAAAGTACGAATCACGAGAGAGGGTGGAACACCGCTTAAGGTATTGGCCCCGTGCAACACAGGATATATCTAAAACGATCGAAGGATCGCGTAATTAAGCGTTACCGCGAATTCGAATCATTATACGTACGCATGAATCTCTATCGATGCGCGTATACCTTGCGTGTCAAGCATGTGTGCAAGCTCCTGCACGTATAAATACACTTCTGGCAGCAGGAAAGTCTCAGTTGGATGCCTCTTGATACGAGTGCGTGTCAGTGATTCGTATAGAAGAAAGGTGACGAATCGGCCACAACGTGTTCGTGGCCGCAGAAACCTAATTCATGAGGGTGAATCTCCGACAAACTAAACTAATCTCCGATCAAGAAGAAGCTGCGCCAGTGATAAGATTTGCTGGACCACGATCATAGAAACGAGGCATGAAAAGTGGATCGTTAAAGTCGTCCTTGTTAAAGTTGATGATACTTGTCCCGCTGACTCTGGACAACATAGTCCAATCAGCGGTGAACGGTGAAAATCATCATCGAAGTGGCAGAAAAATGAACTTGACCCATGCGGTGAAAATGTCACAAAAGTTTGTCTGCAAAGAACCACAATCTCGAGCATACAACTTGAGGGACCTGATGCGGGATGTTCAGCAAAATTCTGGAGAGAGCCCAGTAAAACCTGTCTACGTTGTTTTGAAACGTTGCGACGGACACTCGGGATGCTGTACGAGTCCTGACATGAGCTGTTCACCGGAACCATCGGCAATCTATTACGACGAGATCGAAATCGAGGTGTCAAGTTTGGTACACAGAAAGACTATTCCACGATGGATCAGGGTGGAACAACACGGTAGATGCTTCTGCGATGTCACCACGATCAATGATCGATATCAACAAGAACTGCAGTGGCCTAACGTAACTCTTGTTTGACGGCAACTTATTTAATCCATCGTATAAACTATAATGTACAGCAGAAATTCCGAGATACGGTGCATCCGGTGTTTGTTGTTTCTACCTGTAGAAACAAGTATATTATAGAGAAGAATTACAGTATAGCGGTACGATTGCGGTACGATGGAATCTCGCTGTATGGCTCTAGGCCAGACGTAAGAGAAATTTAGAAGTTCCTATGTTACTAAATTTCTTCGTCGGGCATGAAATCGGGCATCGATCTTTAAAGTCGCAGGGATATTCGTAAATTTCCTCAAACACCACCCCCATCCTCCTCTGTTTTCTACGACTTCTACGATGACACGATGAAGAAACATTGTCGGTGCGTATAAAAATTTACACCTAATAAAGGAATGCCACGTAGCGAGATCTTCCTGTGAATTAAGAACAGTTCACGTTGTAATCTTTCCCTGGGGGTTTAACCTGCCGCGTTAGTTCGAAAATGTTCAACAACCGCATATCTAGACTACAACGTATGAGAAACTGGCTCAATGCCCGACACATGTTGCTTGTCAGCTCAATGCTAAAATGTCGACGATAAACACCTGTTTTATAAGAAACCGATACCGTTATGAGACAAAGGATCGATTAGGCAAGAATTTTATCGAGATGTTGAGTTAAATTATAGAAATATAAGTCTGATTCTTTTAAAGGCCATCAAAAACGACAGCGATTCGTAAACTAGTCATTATTCGATACTTTATCTGTTAATCACTCTTAACTTATTAATTTATTATGTTCTGGTATAATTAAAGGTAAATACGATCAACTATTTACTTGCTACTAGGATACTCGCTCAGAGAAGAAAGATCGAACTTTGGATATTAATAGGTTTATGAAAGGGACCAATATGTATTACTATTTAAGAAACTAATATGCAACTGTTTTAGCAAGTTTAATGTTCACCGTTGTGATACCGTTCTATCTTATATGTATACTAACAAGATCAAAATTATGTTACAAAATTACGTTTTGATACTATCGAACGCGTGTAAACTAGACATTTATCAGTTAATTGTAATAAAATCAGTATTTATACGCGTTTATTAATATTTAACATTTATTCTTGGTAAGATTATAGTATAAACGTTTAAAAAATTTTTCTTCGGATATTCAAGTATTGAACAAGTATTAATCAAGGTAATGCTACATTAAAATATTAGTATATCGGATAAGAGACTGATACACGTATAAAATATATTATATACAAAGTGTCGAGAAAATAGGTGATCAAACATTATAATCGTATTCTTCTGTTACCAAGCATGAAAAAGTGTCGTATGTAGAAATGTGCATATATTAAAAACGAGTAATATTGAAAAGCGATGAGAGCATGGCTCATAATAGATCGATACGTATTTAAACGATTTATAAAACAATTGCAGTCAGAGTGGTTTATTGTAATAACGAACCAACTAATTAACGAAACAGCGAAGAAACTTGCTGAGACGACAGATTTTTCCTCGGAGACGATGTCTTACTACTAAAAGTGAGTACTTTTGCTTCGATGCCTTGTAGACCTCGGGAAATTCCTACTCTTGTCATATTTTACAACTATCGATTGCCACACTGAACCGATTAAAAATTGCGTTTATGTTTCTATATTTATTCATTATGTCTCTATGTGTTTACGACACCTTCGGAAACAGTGAATTATACTGGATTATAATGACAATTTGGCTGCCTATTTACTTGACACCTCCATATTTTAGCGAACCTTCTGTGTTACGTGTATAAATACCTACTATTTTGTTTTAATATTAGATTTTAAGATAGACATTAAATTACGTACTTTAATAGCGGTTAGTAGAATTTTAGTATTTATTTTATACTATTTATTAATAGTTCAGAGTTAATGCATTCGGTCTGAAGTTTATGCGACTGACGAGAACTATAAAACAATTTATCGTATTTATTTAATTTTGTACGATATAAAAAATGCGATGCATCTTTAGTAAATAACATAATTCTTGTACATTATGACAAATACTTCGAATAAAACTTTCATGGTGTGCACTGCGTAAAATATGAAATCTGACTACGATATATGTATATACCGATCTTGTGTAAACGTTTTACATAAAAAAAAAAAAAAGGAAAGGATACGTTTAATGAAATACGACATATTCGAACAGTAACTACGTCAAAATTATTTCTACGATTAAATAAATAAGACGATTTAAGTGCTACGTATGTATGTACTTTTGAATGGAAAAAGAAAGAATATCGATGAAAGGAATGTCAGTTTCGATGTTGAAGGCGTAACAAAACAATCGACAATAGATCGTGTAATTTCAAACGAAACAACAATTTTAAAAGATGGTTATACGCCGCAATTATTATATAAAATTAATATTATTGTATTGTTCACGTTGGGTGTAATAAATATCAAGCTGACAAATATGCGCACAACGAAATTACCATATAACGCGAAATAAAGATACCTGCAATTTGAAAGTTGATATATGTTAATAACAGCCAACGTTTCTTACACGGTTCGTGTACAAACACTGCGACACGTATCTTTTCTATGGCTTCGTATAAAAAAAAGAAAAGAAGAAAAATTGCCTTAAAATCGCGCGTATGGATATTTAGAGCGCATTCGACGTCTGATTCCACGACCTCTCCCCGTTTCGTTATTCGTTCCCCTCGCTGCGTGTCCTCCGCGTATCATAGATTGCCCTTTGAAAAGAGTTTTTTTTGTCTATCAAGAAAAATTATTCTTACAACACAATTTATTATTTACGGTTACAATTACCTCTACCGCTAGCTTGACTTTCCCAAACAATTGGCGTAGGGCGAGCACCACGAGCTGTTCTGAACGGTGATCGTGCCGAACGGCGCACTGTACTGCCTCTGTTACCATTGCCTGCTGCTGCAGCAGCCGCTGCTGCTCTTCTTTGACGCGTATTGCTAGAAGGAGACGCTTCCGCTTCGCGACTCTCTTCTACTTCGTCTTCCACTGTGTCGCTTCCTGGTTCTTCAGTTCCTTCGCCAGTGTCTACCGTATCGTCATCACCAGATATCAACGGACCAGTTTCTTCCGTACGTTTCTCGCTTTCCGAACTCGTACCTACATAAATATTGAATTTCAGTTGAATCCATAGATCGTTACTTCGATCGTTAACCATCGTTATCGAGTGAAATGATGAACGTTCAACCGCGTCGAAAAGCGAAATGTCAGTGAATGTTCGTGAAATTTAAAGGATGCCGTACAGTTTGCGATTATTACCTTCGGTTGGTGTTGTACTAATAGATTCTGTAATTATTTCAGTTTGATTGTGTTGCTGGTCGTCAACGCCAAGTACACGAATACTGGGTATTGCAGACTCTTCGCCGGTGTCGCCAACAGCGGTAACCGACAACGGTGTTACCGAAACGGGTGTTTCTTGTTCTTCGGAGGGACCACTGCTGGTCTACAAATAAATAATTTTACTAAATAGATTCGATCGATACGTCGCAATGTTCTTAGCGGCAACCTTAATATTTATATAATACGAAAGGGCAGACAATGCGAAAAAATTGTACCGAAGGTGGCAAATCAGCCGCCGGTGAGACTTGCAAAGGTGTAGTAGGCACGCTACGACCGGTACCGCCATCTTCTATTTGAGTAAGATCGATTCGTGTATCGTCCATACTTTCTTGAACGACCGGTGCAACACCGGAACTGGATGAACCAAATATAGTTCGAGCTGTTGATCCAGAAGGAGTAGATAACGACGGAGTTGACGATGCTGTTGTTGGCGCGGATGAATCTCCGAAGGTAAACCGTCCTTGAGGAACTTGCGGTGAACTAACAGCTTCTCCAAACCCGTCCCCTCGGCGTGGCACAAACAACGTTGGTGTACTTGGTACTATACTATCGTCACCTCCATCCTCGTATCCCTGTTGTGGCTGAAATTGATCTGGTTATTAAAAAGAAAACATTCTTCTTGCTACATGTAAAACGATACATACCAAAAGAAGATGTTGTTGCTGTTGTTGTCTAGGCATCGGCGCAATTCCACGCGATAATCGAGGCGCAAACGACGTGGCTGGTTCTCCCGTTGGTCCGGCACTACTGATCGCTTCCGACTGTTGTTGTTGTTGCTGCTGTTGTTGTTGTTGATTTATTGGCACCGCTGATTGTGCTTGTCTAGAAACTTCTACGCTCGTCGAATCTTCACCCATTATGATCTCGACTTCGTTGTTGTCCCTCTCTACCTCTACCTCGACCTCGTAAGGCATTTCCTCTTCTTCCTCCATCTCTTCGTACGGATCATTATCGAACTCTTCTTCTTCCTGCGTTTGGTGATTACCACCTCCTTCGCCTTCGTCGCAGTCTACCACAACCACGCATCCTTCTTCTACCTCTTCGTCCTGATCTCGTTGGCTCGACGTTGGTACCTGAAAATCGACCGATTATGTGTTACAATTTAAAAGTGTACGATTAACGTTCGATACGCATTTAGCATTTTCGCTATTTAAATTCACCTGGTACTCGACCTCTGAAGCACTCGCGCTAGCCGTAGACATTTCTTGCCTGTTCCGTTTTGTTTTAGGGCTAAGAACCTGTTCTTGCCTACTGTGATCAACGCCTTCCACGATACCCGACCCAGAGGCCGTAGAATCAAGAGCTCTTGGACGTTTGTGTCCCGTCGAAGCTTGCGACGTACTCACTGATTGAGTTGAACTACTCGCAACCGTCTGTTGTTGATCGCTGGCTGCAGCCTGTTGTTGTTGTTGTTGTTGTTCGACTCTTGGACTTACTAATGCAACAGTTTGCTGTTGCTGTTGCTGCTGCTGTTGTTGTTGGCATTGTTGCTGTTGTTGTACGCTAAGGGTTTCCGCGTTCTCTGGATCTTCTCTTTGCGTCGATTCCGCTGATTCGCTCAGTTGCGGTTGAACAACCAGTTGACGCAACGTGCTTGGCGCTGTCTGCGATGAACTGCTACTGGTACTGGCTGGTTGAAAGTCTGGAAGACTACTGGTTGGTGAACTCGTTTCGGTCGTGTGCACCGCTTGTTGTTGCGATTGTTGTTGTTGGTGGGGCGCAACCATAACCGGTGCAGTCGCAGTTGTAGGTAAAACAGCAGCTGTTCTAGATTGCACTACCACGCTCATAGGACGAATACTTGCTAAAGGAGTTTCAGCACGAGCGGACATCGGTTTAATGTTAGCCGTCGGGGGTTCGGTCGTAGCGCTGACTCCGCTAACACCGGCTAACTGCCGTTGTAGCTGTGTCACTCTTTGCAAAAGAGTCTCCTTTTCCGCCTGGATTTCTGCCTTTTCATGTTCCAAACGAGAAATTCTACCTTCCATTTGAGATTTCAATGCCACGAGTCTAGCATCGTGTTCGGCAGTATCCGACTCGGTTGTACCAGCTTCAATTTTTGCTTTTAGATCCAACAGTTCTTTCTCACAGATTTTTTTCGATTCGGTTAATTGCATAATTTTAGTTCTTGCACCTTTCAACACTTGTTTCGCACGCTCTTCCTTCTCGACGCTTGTTTTATTCATGGTATCGATTTCTTTTTTCAAAGAATCAGCTTCGCTTTGTACGACTACCATTTGGCGAGATAACTCGTCGATTTTCGATGTCAATTCCAAATTCGCTTGACGCAATTCTTGTCGACCTTCTTCCCGCAATTGATCTTCTCGTTCTTGCGATATTTGAACGGTATCTTCGTTTACCGAAGTACCAGCCGACATTCGGGACTCTTCGTTTCTGCTCTTCTCTTCCTCTACCGTTTTCGCGAGCTCTTCGAATTGTGTCTTGTATTTCTTTGCTATCTTTCTGATCTGAATCTCTTTGTTTTTTATGTCGTTTAAAACAGTTTCTTTGTCGCCAAGCTCTTTTCTTAACGTTGCCAAATCTTTGGCTTTGGAAGAAGAATCCGCCAGAGCTTCGTGTAAGTCTTGACCTAATTTGCGTGCTTCTTCGGAAACTTTCTGTACTTGTTCTCCTTGAGCTTGCACTTGTTTCTGAAGTTGCGATAACGTCTCTTCTAATTTAGCTTTCTCTGCTTTTAATTGATTCAATTCGTCTGCACGCTTAGCGTGTATTTCGCGTTCAGATGCGAGCAATTTGCTAAGATTTTCACGTTCCGTTTGTAATCTACGCCAATCTTCTGGACTAGTTTTGTTAGCTCTTTCGACCAATGTATTAGCTCTTTGTCTCCATCTGGTTGCCTCTCCCTTAAGACTCGCATTCTCCTGTAGTAACGCCTCAGTCTTTGCTTGCAAATCTCTCGAAGTATCCCGAAGTGGACCTACTTCTTCAGAAAGCGCTGCTACTTTTACGGTAAGTTCTGAAACTTTTACGCTTAAACTGTCTCTTTCTTCTCTAAGTATTCTATTAGAATCTGTTATTGCGTTCAAAGTTTCAACTTTTCGTAATAATTCTGCATGCTTAGACGTTGTTACTACATCGATTTCGGATTTTTCTCTTTCCGAATTGAGCACGGCTTCTGTTTCTTTTAGTCTTTTTTCTACAACCTACGTCAAACAACACACGTTGATAATAGTACAATAAACTATACGGGTATCCCACCTGACGTTAAGATCTTTCTTTAATTATTATTTATTTTTTCCTTTCTTAAACAAAATCCTACGTTTTTTCTAAATTCACAAGTTTTCAAATTTTCGATCTTCGAAATTCTTACATTTCCAAATATTCCCTTAATTAACGATTTTCAACGTACACGAATTAACACCGTAATGTATAGAGAATGTCGAGCTGTATTAGACCTGGCTCGTGTATTAAAAAGAAAAAAACTTAGGATTTTATCGGAGAAAAAAAAAATAAATAAATAAATAAGTAAAATTGACCTTTAAACGAACATCTACATATTTAACTACAGAAGAAACTATCAACACCAGAATATGTTCTTCTTGAAGCCATTTTTTTATCCGAAGTATTTTTCGCTACGTATAATAAAATAATAATAGCGTAAACGAAGATGTCAACGTCAGGTGAGGTGGTCTGTATAACACTAACCTCTACTTGAGATTTCAACCGAAGATTTTCTGCCCTTAAAACATCAAATTTCGCTACAGCTAAATCTTTCTCGCGTCTCAGATATTTCATTACTCTTAGTAATTGTTCGGCGGATTTGGAGTCATCTTCGAGTCCGCTAAAACTACGATTCATTGTTTCTAAACTCGTATCGAGACTTTCCTGTTCGTTTATCTTCGATTGTTGACTATGCATGATTGCAGTTTTATCGCTCAATTCTTGAATTTGATTATGTAAAATAGCATTCTGCGTATCTAAATCTTCTATTCTTTTCTGCATTTCTTGAAGCTCGTCGAGTAACTTTTTTTCTCGTTCTTGATAAGCTACTCTTTCAAGATCTAAAGCTTCTACGGCTGCATTTCTCTCTTGAGTTAAACTGGCTACTTTTTGTTCTATTGTTTCTGCATCTTCCTTTAATTTTGCTAATATCTATAAATAATACGATGACAAGGTTAATTTATTATCAAGTTTTTTTTTTTTTTTTTTTTTTTTTTTTTTTTTTTTTTTTTTTTTTTTTTTTTTTTTTTTTTTTTTTTTTTTTTTTTTTTTTTTTTTTTTTTTTTTTTTTTTTTTTTTTTTTTTTTTTTTTTTTTTTTTTTTTTTTTTTTTTTTTTTTTTTTTTTTTTTTTTTTTTTTTTTTTTTTTTTTTTTTTTTTTTTTTTTTTTTTTTTTTTTTTTTTTTTTTTTTTTTTTTTTTTTTTTTTTTTTTTTTTTTTTTTTTTTTTTTTTTTTTTTTTTTTTTTTTTTTTTTTTTTTTTTTTTTTTTTTTTTTTTTTAATTTTTTTTTTTTTTTTTTTTTTTTTTTTTATTTAATTATAAATAATAATTATATTTACTTGAAGGTCCGCTGAATGTAACACCATTTCTCTAGCATATTTCTCTTCGGCTTCTTTAGCCGCTACTGAAGCATTATGTAAGTCGCTTTTTACAATTTCTAGTTCTCCCTTAACTTCATCTAATTCTTCGAGCTTTCTTTCTGCATCGGCTAATCTTTCTCTTAACTCTGAATCGGTTTCTTGTCGACCACTGGAAACTCTTGTTAACTCTTCTACTAATTCTTGTACTCTCTTTTGAAGGGATATTATTTCTACGCGTGCATCTTTCAAAGCAGTTTCTAATTCTTCCTTACATTTATTATGTTCCGCGGTTAATTCTCTTAATTGTGCCTCGGTGCTTTCCGCTATATCGCAATACTGCTGACTTTGTTGCCGTGCAGCTTTCAATTGTTCCGACAAAGATTTTGCTTCCGCCTGTGACGTACCAAGTTGCATCTCAAGCTCTTTTAATCGCTTTACGAGATTTTCATCGCCTGTAAGTTTGAATGGGCACAGAATTTTATTTATAATCATTGATAATGCATATAACAATTTACCTGTACATTATACACGTACCGTTAAAAGGTTTTGATATCGAATGGGTAACAGCTTGTCTCAGTTTAGCATTAAGTTCTTCGATGCGTTGCGTATTCTGAGAATCAGACTGACGAGCCTGTTCCAACTCCGTTCGAATTTGCTCGGTTATATTACGTTCTTCCGTCAGTCGTTCCTGTGCTGTGGCTAGCTGTCTTTCTAAATGTGCGGATAACTCTCTGAACCGATCTTGTTCTTCCTGTAATCGTCGTCTTAAAGCTGCGCACTCTCTGGTGGCGTCGTCCAAACGCTGTTCGGCACGTAATTGACTTTCGGCTTGAACACGTTCTAAACTAGCTTTAATAGATTCAACATCTGCTTTCAATAAAGCCTGCGTTTGACGTTCTCTCTGGTACACTTCGCGTTCCTTCAAAAGACGTCCTTCGGAATCACGTAAAAGTTGTCTTTCTTGCCGAATGTTTTCCAATTGCACCTCGGCACGAGATAGTCGAGTTTGAGCCGCTAAAGCTTCATCCTTCAGAATCATCAAACTTTGTTCGTGCTTACCTGTAAAATAATATAAATAATTTTCTACCGTTCGTTATGTTCTGAATTTTTTTGAATCGTGATAAATGTTCAATACCAATTGTCACGTTATAATTAAAACACTTTTCTTCGAGGACTTTGATTTGAGATTTATAAGAGGCAACGTTTGCTTGTAAAAGATTAAATCTATCGTTAGCTGAATCTAACTGTGCTTTTAATCTACAACATCGTGCCGAATTAGCTTCTGCTTCTTTCCGAAGTCTCTCCACCTCGTCTCCCAACATACGTTCGTGTGCCGCTTTTTCTTTTCTATACGTATCGTACTCATCTGTAACGTGCTTCAATTTAGCCTCGGTTTCTGCTAACTGTCTTTGTAATTCTCTTTCTTTGTTAACATCGTCCTGACTGAGGACCGATGTCTTATCCGTGGCCGATTTTTCTTCGCCGACTTCTTTCGTTTCTTCTTCCTCGTTAATTGAAAATTCTTTCTTTTCCGATGTATTTGTCTGTTTTAAACACTGTTGGTACATATTTTTATACATATCCCTTTGTCGTAAAAGACCATCCAACATTTTTGCTTGTCTATCTTGAGCAGCTTGCATATCTTCCAATTGTTCTAAATACCTGATATGATTTTGAACAATGCAAGATAAATAAATGCACAAACGACTGAATATTTTTTAAAAACAGTTACAAACCTATCCAATTTCTCTTTCATTTCTCCAGAATTTATTTCATCGGTGGCCCGCTCAATTTCTTCTTGCCTCGATGATAATGTCCTAACAATTGACAGCAATTTTTGATTATTTTCCTGCAATTCTTCAATGTCTTTAAAAGTGACCAGTTTTTTACTAATAATTTCAGACGAAGCGAGATTATCTATGTCCATCGAATTCGAAAATTCACTTGCATTCGCAGTTGTACCGCTTCTGCTCTCTTGAACTTCTTTCAAAAGGAAACAAACCTAAAACATTAATTTAATGTCTTAAAATATAAAAAAGAAAAATATGAAAAAAAAAGTCAATTACAATCTTGTACCTGTCTAGCTAAATCTGATAATTCTGTTTTCAACCTCTGATTCTCTTTAGTATGGTGTTTGGCAATACGATTTGCTTCGTCCGCGGTTTCTTGCAATCTATGATTTTCGGCTAAAAGTTCATCTAATCTTGACGTGAGCGTTGCAATATTGGCAACAGCAGTTTCATAATCTTCACGTTGCTGTTGTAAAATTGGAGCTTTTTCTTCTACTTCTCGTATAATAACATCTATTTGTGACTTTAAACGTTCGTTTTCTTCTCGTTCTGAAGTCAGTTCATTAGTTACATCAACCAATTGTGTATAAATTTGAGTAAGACTCAAACCTTTTCTGAGAACACGACTAGCTATGGCTGCTGTAGGTGCAAGTTGTTCAACGGCTTGATCTAATCTCTCTGTAAACAATTATTAAACCATTAAATAAATGGAATCATTAAGAAACGATAGTGACTAATTACCTTGTTTAATATTTTTGAGTAACTCGTTTGCGTGACTTAATTCTTTTGAAAGTTCATCTATTTTTTGCTCTCTGTCTTCTATTTCTTGTTTACGTTGCAATTGAAGCTGATTGTGTGTAGTTTCTAACGTTCCGTATTGCTCTGTAGCAGTTTCTAATAATTCTTGAAGTTCTTTAACTGCACCACTGAATTCCTCAGCTTTTGCATTTGCTTCATCGGCCATTCCTTTATACAGGTCCGCTAATCTGGTTTGAGCACCGATTTCTTCTCGATAAGAAGCATGCATAGAAATTTCATGAGTACGCTGTTCTTCCAGTTTTTGAGCAAGTTCGTCGCAGCGTCGTTGAAGAGACGTGTAAGACTCTCGTAGTTGCGCCGCTGCTTCATTAGCAATACGTAATTCCTCGTCGCGTTGCGCCAATCGAGTGTCCGTTAAAAGAGCTCGAGCAGACGCTTCTGCTCTTGTTGCTTGTAATTCTGACATTCTTTTCGCTAATTCCTCCTCCAAACCTGCCATTTGTTGTGAAAGTAAAGTCCTTTCTTGTTCTAGCCTTTTCTCCCTAGTAAATGTAACATATTTATTAAGAACAATGATATTTCATACAAGTACATATAAATAAAATAAGAGTGTTTATCCGTTATCGATACATTAATGTATATATCAAAAAAATTGGAATGCCTGTTATTCTGAAATAAATGACTTTTCCTTAAAAATTTTGGCTATTTTCATAATAACTAAATATAAAAAACAGTTTTCAAAATTTCTGTTTATCTATCTGTTTATCCAAGTTTAAGAAGTAAGAAAGTACGAAGCTAATTTTTACGAAATTTGCACAGTTTTTCATTTCAACTCTATATCTCAGATAGTTCTGAAATTGTAAAATTATATCCTACTATTCTTGACTAACATATATAAAACGCATACTTAAATTCAAGAGTCATATCGCGACTTCTAATTTCTTCTGTTTCCGTTAAAGCTTGACATTTTGCAGCTACAGCATTTTGGAGTTGAGTTCCTAAAGAAGAGAGTTCCGTATGCATCCTTTCAATTTCTGTGTCTCGTCGTTCAACCTGTAGTTGCAGCGCGTCTCTTTCATCCACAACTGTGTCCCTGTGTCTACGTAAATCAACATTTTCTTTCTCTAACCTGTTACAGTAAATTGTATTAAACAAAATAAACGAATGTTGTATTGAATATGTGTTATGAACATTAATTATGTGCTTTTCAACTTCATCCCCTTTAAATATACCTTTTAACAGTTTCTTGTAATTTTTGAATTTCGTTTTTAGCTTGGTCTAAATTGATTTGTAATTCGGTAGTATATTTTTCTGCCAATTCTAATTTTTCTTTGCATTCTTCAAAATTTGATTTTTCCTCTGTCAAATCTTTTTGCAGCTTATCTACAGTTTGATCTAAAAAATTAAATATCAATCGTTAAATTAAGATTAATCCACTGATACAACCAAATATAATAAAAAAACTAAATGATCTTAAATTAATTTTAATAACATTACTATTTGATCATTTAAAAAATCTGTAGTAAAATCCAATAATAATTTCAAGGTAACGTCTTTATATGATCAGACATTTTGCAGGATTTCAGGAAGTTCTCTGGTGATGTAACATACATTGGTTTTTACTAAAATCTCTATTCGAACATCATAGATAGCATTCTGTACATTAGAATTTACATTAGAATGAAAAAATCAGATGCGAGTAGTAATACGTATTTTGATAATGAACTTTCATTTTGAAAACACACTTATATATAGATAAAATTCTACAAATATTAATGTTATCTGTTGTTGGTCTTAATTTTGCCTTTTGGTCATATACTAATATCACTGCTATAAAAACAAACATATAACGTTATCACTTGACACTGTATCTATATCTTCTATATACCTACATTTTACTTATATTAAAAAAATAGACAATTCAGGCTAATAAATTATCCTAAAGCAAAGTAAGATTATTCTCTAAATTGTTTGCGTATTGTACATGTTTTGCATACATTTTGCTATAAACCTTTCTTCCAAATAATATACTATAAAAACGAGAAACGAACTTGACATGATTTTACTTCTCTATAGATTTGTCACAAGTAACTTGACAAGTTTAGCATGGTTTATTAAGTTTAAAAAGCTCAATGGATAAACAACCTTAATGTTATCGGATATTGTAAACGTTATTTTCAAACAAATTGAACCGTTTGAGTCCCAAGCAACATGATTGCGCCTCTCAAATTTTGTATAGGAAAGTCCGAATAATGCATTTGAATGCTATGGATACCTGTCCATACTATGCACTCACAGCCTGTCGAAGTAGCACGTTCAACTTTACTGGTGTACACGCACAAGATAGTTGCCTCTTTTAATGTAAATAATACAACAAAAAGAACGAAATACAAAATAATACGAGCGCTATCGCGCCGCTTGGCTCTCTTCGCAATCAAGTAAGACTCGCGCTATTAGGCATTTTTCGACCGTGTTTTTCCAATGACCCCTAGGACACAAACGGTTCATAAACTAAAATTGCATGTAGAATGTAGATGTTTGATAGGACTTATTGACAATTTTCATACCTGAAAGTATCATTTGCATTTTTTCGATTAACTATTAAAATGTAATTATGAAATAGATGCGGTAAATTCTTAATAAAAAGAGGTTAACTACGCCATGTAAATAAACCGGGTGATCGTTATCATGAGAAAAAGTACGAAACTCAATTCAAACTTACCAAAATTTTTTCTATTAGTTTCGAAAACGGCTTTGGCCGTAATATACTGTTCAAATTTCTCATTGAAATATGCGTTTATCTTTTTAACAAACCCTTCTGGGATTTGTGTCAATTCTTCTTTACTTAAAATGTCTTGAAGCACATTGTGTTCGTTCTCTTCTGCTTTTTCCATCTTTTACGAGAATGCACCTTACAAATTGAGTAAGATCTTTCTTCAATGACGTATTCGTATTTTATGATTAACCGTATTCGAACAAAGGCACATTTGATCGAACGTTCAGCATTTATTACCTTTTCCTCTCTCAGTCGTTATGGCCTCCGTAAAACTAACTGACGCGGAAAGCTACAGGAACTAACGTTGAATATCAATCGTATTTAGCGCTAGTGTACCACATTACAACTAAATAATTCATATTATTTATCAGACCAGTTGAAAAAGTTAATATTACGTACACAGTTTATATATGTAAATAAAAGTCTGTAATTTTTTATATTAAATTTTGTATCTTACATATAATATTAATGTATTTTATATCTTTTACTTATATTGTTAATTCATTGAGGGAACAGAAGTTTCGAACGACCGGTTCTCGTTTATTCTGCACATGTTGATTCTGATTGGTTCTAACATGCAAATGCTGTATAACTTCTTAAAGCACGTTAAAAGCGGACACGTGCTGATGAAAACTGTATAAAAACGGTTCGTGCATTTATATATGTATATATATACATTAATGTATACATATCGTAATTTATAAAATATGATAAATGTACATTAAAATACAAATATGATACATGACCAAGAAAAAGGAAGAAATTGTGAAGTCTCTTGATGGATGTATAAAAAAAGATGTGCAGTATCTTAAGAAGCGGTAAAGGAGAAAATATTTTATACGTGAATTTAATTCTGAATTAATATTGCACGAGATTAATTTTCTTGAAAAAATTTATCGAACGAATAGAATATGTTTTCTTTAAAATTGATTACCATTTCAAAATCAAAAATATTTATGGATCATGTAATCAATTATTGTGGAAAACGATGTTTATGGACATTGACAATAGATCATTGTATAAATATAAAAAGCAACAGAAGCCTTTCACATTTGGTAAACTATAGTAAAAAATTCGATTCAGAAGTTCCACAGAAGGATTACAATGTTTTTGGAAATATTTCGTATGATAAATATGAAACAGTCGAGATGGACGAAGATGAGAAAAAGGAAGAAATTTTTGCAGAAAGTGCTAAAATTCCTAAATATGAACGATTAAATTATCAAGATTGCATAAGACTGATTAAATCATATATGTCGCAGAAAAATCTAGAATTAGCATTAGGCGTATTAGATGTAATGAAAGAAAACAGCGTTAAGCCAAATTTATTTGTATATAGACTTTTAATCTCAGCATTTGCAGTTCAAGGAGATATAACACAATGTTTTAAATTATTTAAAAAACTTAAAGACAGTGGTTTGAAACCTTCGCCTCATGTATATACTTCTTTAATTGAAGCTTGTGCTAAATCTAAGAATAAAGAACTTGCTTTGGATCGTTTGCAATTTTTAAGAACATATTGTTATCAGAGAAAGATACATTTAAATGTAATGCAATACTGTGCTCTTATCAAAGCTTATGGTCATCATAAAGAGACTAAGATTGCTTTTGAGGTAGCAGACGAAGCACGAGATAATAAGTGCGATCTTTCCAGTAGTATGATCGCTTCCTTGTTTCATGCGGCGATAGGTGATACAAAGTCTGGATTAAAATATGCTTTAACTTTGTGGCACACAATGAAGAAAAATAAAATGAAGATATCCATATATCATTATAATCTTATTTTGAGAGCAATACAGTGTACAAAGTTTGGAAATTTAAAGACAAGCGATGTTTTATTGTCAGGATCATACGATACTCGAATTCAATTTAAGGATGTAGAAAGATCAGATCTATTAGATTCACCGCCAGTAATAAGTATTTCGTGTCTTACGTCGCTTAAAGAATCGAGCAACATGCCGCATCCTAATACCAATGAAATAGATATAGTTCATAGCGTTGAATCATTATCGCTATATTTAGATAATGTATTGGAAACAAATCAGTTATTTTTATTCGGTGGAGCTGAAAAATTTTTGAATCGAATGAAAGAAAATGGTGTGCAGCCTGATGTAAAAACGCTGACGTTAATTTTAGATTTACTTCCTTCTTCGTTGGAAGCAGAAAATAAGTTTCTTAAGTACATAAAGCGGAATTTTCTGGATGTAGATATTGTATTCTTTAACATGCTCATTAAAAAGAGATGTATGAGAAACTGTTACGAAGATGCTAAAGTAAGTACTTAGAAAGTGATACTTTATGAAAATTCTGTGTTAATAACTTATATTTCGTTGTAGTCTACTCTTCGTGAGATACAAAGATATCACCTTGAGCCTAACGTCGTGACATTTGGGTCATTGGCTATTGGATGTAAGAATTTTAGGAATGGAGCAGAATTGTTGGAACAAATGGATAATATTGGTTACGTGGCGAACAATATAATTTTAGAAACGTTATTATTGCACGCGTGTAGCAAAATAAGTTTCTCTTATATTTCATATTTAATGGCGTATATATCGAATAATCAAATTAAACCGTCGAAAGCAATGTTAGAAATGTTAGATGAATTCGAAACAAGAGTATTAAAACGTTTAAATAATCAGGTACATAAATTATTTGAAAAGTAATCAGAACCGTTCGTTTGTAATTAAATTAATTTTTGACATTGTTACAGGTTGAACGCAGTTCTGAACGAAATTTTGTCTCTAAAGCGGCTTATAATAAATTTAAAATAAAGTATGACATTTGGAAGGAAAAGTTAGAAATGTCTGAAAATTAATAAAATATTGAAATAAATTTCTTTTTCAATTTATAATCCGATTAAAGGTCAGTTTAAATTGTGTAATATTAAAACTGTATTAATTTTTGTTTATAAAGCAAAATGAAATAATTATTCTAAACCTTTGAAACACAGACAAATTTATTAAATAAGAACTTTTCTTGAATTTGAGAATATAATAATAACAATAACAACAATAATAATAATGATGTAGTTCTTTATTTTATAAAGTTTTTGTAACATATGGACATCAAGAAATTTTGTACTATAATAAAATATCAGTTAAACAGTTATCTAATATACTAATAATAATATTGTATACTTCCAATAAGAAATATTTGATATTTCTATAATCCTAAATGGAATTACTATGAAATTACATAGAGAATAGAAAATTATTTAATTATCAGTACAAAACACTTAGCTTCCCTGAATTAATTATAAATTAGCGAAGATAAGGAGGTCGGGGTTCTTGCGTCCATGTTCGACTTCTCGATCCTGCACTGATTGCACGCGGGGGACAGGTTCCACGTATACTGAGTTTATTATAACCCGTAGGTCCGGTTGGTTGTGCTCCACATGTTTCTAACGCTACAAAGTCATCAACATGAAGGGACGGTGGTCGTGAAGTGTTTGGCGGTCTTGATCTAAATGGATCTGCTCCTCTACCTACGCTTCCCACCACTGGGCCACCTCTTAAAGAATTGGCAAATTGCGTTCTGCCTCGCATAGGTGTAACTATAAATGTAAGAAAAATAATTTTATAATTATGTAAACTGTCTTAAGTTATGCTGTTATTAGTAATAGATATTTATATAATTTACCAAATGGTTGTTTTATTTTAGAAATAGGAGACGATTGTTTTTGAATGTCTCTGGTTTCTTGATCGTCGGTTTGAGTTTTTGATTGTAACGGCTGAGTAGCGTCATCGGGTGGTGTTTTAGAACAGAGATTTTGAGCTTCTGTCAACAAATTAAAGTCGGCTGGTAGCAATTCGGCTGCAAGCGCTAACAAATCCACGGTGTTTTCATTCGGGGCTTGACTCGGAGTTGTAAACGTAAACTTTTTCGGACGTTTAGAAGTAAGATCTGGAGTTCCTAAACATCGTTGAGAAAATTGATTTAACAACGCTTCCGGAGTGGGCAGCAATGGTTCCAACATTTCCGGTATAGGTTCTTTGTCCTCTTTGTCTTCTGCAGACTTCAAAATTTCCACCAGTTCGTGCGCATTTTTTATTTTCTCCAAGGGATGTTCATTTTTATCCCATAATATTAGGGATGCCAATTGCTGTACTCGTAAATATAACGATCTTCCTTGTGATTCGGATGCTATTAAATTTTCTAAGAACATTATAGTCAAATCTACGACAGATTGGGCTTCTGGATCTTCTAAGACAGAAATATACTCTAATAATGATCTTAATGCATCAGGATTATTTTCTAAACAGCTTTTTACATGGTATAAACCATAATTGTGACTGATGAGAGACAAAAGTATTCGAAGCGTACTTTGTAGTATTTCAGTTTCAAATTTTGTACTACTCGCTAATATATCGATAAGGGCAGCCAGCATGGACAAAAGCGGTTCTTTACTAGGTACCGAATGCGTTAATCTTTTTTCAAAAGGTTCGCTTGTATCTTCTGGCATAAGACTAAGCGTACTATCGCACAAAGTCTCAAAAATATCAAGAATTTCGTATTGTATTCTAATATCGTTTGTACTTTTAAGCGCTGTACACATCATTTCGATAACAGGCGGATATTTTTGATCAGATTTCACTTGTGCTCTGGATGCAGGGCTAGTTAACGTCAACAAAGTGGCTTTCATTGGTGCATGCCTTGCGAGTTCACTAAGCAGCGCAAGGATTAACACGTTATTCTCTAAAGGAGCGGCAGCTATTATACCGTCTAATAAACATCTTCCTACAAGTAAAGCTGTAGGTGCTGCTAAATCGCTTAATTGCTTGCATACTTTTGCCAGAAGAACTAATAAATCATTGTTCCAACTAGCGCAAAGCAATCGCAATGTTTCGGTTAAATTATTAGCTTGCGCTTGTAAATGAGCGGACCATAGTTTACGAAATCCTAAAATTCGCGCAGCATCTTCGGTCATAGTTTCTTTCAAAGTCAAAATAGGTGGTAACAATCTTGTTAATAGCTTTAATCCAGGTATAAAATTACATGGGCTCAAAGAAACCATTTTAAGAACTTCGCCCAACATTTGTGTCCATAATGATTTAGCCACATTTCCTGATCCGTCTGAATCTACGGCCTGTGTGAATACCAAAAGTGTTCCCACTATTTCTTCGGATAATGTTTGTACAATTTTAATAGGGGGGATAGCTTCGACTAACGAATAAACACCAAGCAATGGAACTACAGCGGTTAAATCTTTAAAATCTGTGGCCATACATTTGACAAGGCGTTCCAGCAATGCCCTTGTTAATTTAATACACGGAAGAAGTAACGCGACCAATGCCAGACCTCTACGACCTGTTAGAGCTGCACGATGTAAAAATGGTTGTTCGTAAAATTCGGAAATATTCGCCATAACTGCGATAAGAGCTGTTAAACCATCGGCGGCGAATAATTGAGTTAACGCGTTCCTATATTTTAATTCGATGTAAGGTTCCATCGGGTCAACGTCGTTGTTAGAAGGAAAAACAAGATAATACAAAATTCTGCACGCTGTAATTAATTGTCCTGGAAGAGAAGCAGCCTTGTCTGCATTTTTTCTGATGCACATAACAAGCGGAGAAACGTCCCCGTAATTCCAATGAGACGGCTGTGCCACTGTAGTCAGGTATGATGTAACGTCTTTTAAAACAGCCTGAATTCGTGATTTTTCTAAAATGATCGCGGCTCGATTTTGAAACACTTCGATTCGATCGGAATAACGTATCGTTGCCGATATAATTTCCGCAGAGAATTCACAAAGATTCGAATCGGAAAGATAAGGTATTAAAATATCGATAAATTCGCCCATAGGAACAACCGTTATTATAGCCTGTAAACCCTCGGGAAATATTAAGATAGAATGAAGTTTTTTTAATGCTATCCAATCGGAAGGTTGATATTTTAAGCGTAACAGACATTGCACAACTTGAAGTCGCCACGCTAAAACCGAACCTGCCCCAGGCAATTCGTATTTTAAAGCTTTTAAAATTAATTTAATAACTTCTCGTTCTTTCAACAAATACAATAAACCTTCCTTTGTATCCGAGATACGTAGCAGAAAACGACGTGTAGCTTTAATTAAATTTAGATCTGACTTTGGGGAAGTAAGCGTGAATAAAACGTGATACAGAAGTTTATGATGTTCGAAGTATGCTATTAAATGACATCGTGGATTTCGGTTATGTTCGCGTTCAAATTCCATTTGCGCGCCAGCTGGAAGCTGACGTTTCGGTTGAGCCATTAACGTGGGTGAACATATATACGCGTTCGTTAATTCGGTGATAGTTAATTCGTCGAGTTCTTTCAACTCGTCAAGGAATTCGTACGTATGTACTTTTCGTAACAACGAACTTAGGGCATATTTTAATCTTGCTAATTTTGCCGTGTCTAACATCATCAAAGCATTCTTATATAAACTGTTGCTTGATTTAAGAAACTCTTGAACAATTATCGGACTTATTAATGCGGCATCCAACGTACGTATAGCAGATAGTTTCACGGGAAGTGCTACGTTTTCGCGCATGCACAATGCTAATAATTTGTAAGGTGCATCTACTTTTAAAAGTATATCTGGACCTTGCGGTAGCTTACACAAGGTTTCGGCTAATCGTACACCTACTTTAACGTGACGAACTTTATAAGCTGGTTGAGGTTGAGCACGAGCAAGATCCATGTCTAAACCAGCATTCACGATGTTGGCCAAGTCATTGAAATTCGTGTTACTTAAGCGAAAAGGACTGAGTATTGCGCACAGAGATTCACAATTATGAACAAATGTTTCTTTTTCTTGACCTGATGCATTATTAAAGTGTAAGACTGACTTTGATAACGATTGTAATAACTCCTGTATCTTATCTAACATTTCCTTGCTGATATGGCACTCGTCGACGATGTTCAGTGACTCTTCCAATTCCAATAAATCAGGTGGAGCAAAAGAATAAATATCGTTCAATTGCACGTTATCACATTCGTATTCTGTAGATGGTGGTATGTCATCTGTCATTATGTCTTCGTCGGATAATATAGGTTCAAATGGCTCTCCTGTTTCTTGTTCGCCTCCATCCTGTTCTCCTTCCTCCTCCTCCGCTGATATGGATTCAGGGCTTAGAGATACTAAAGATTCAGAAGGTGGCGAAGAAGGCCGTTTCGTCGACTTTAGAGTATTATTCGTAACGTCTTCTTCCCAATGTCCAGTATCTGTTTTCCCAGTATCTGATGTTGAATTTCTGGACGATTCGATTATTTGTATCGGTTGTATAGGAAGTGGTGGCGTTGCGGCTACACACGTTTCCTAAACATTTTACAAGAAAAAATTCGATATTGCCATTTCGAAAATATTGTTTTCACATTTTATGTACTTACATTCGAATTTGGCTGTGCTTGATTTTCGTAATACCATTCAGATTGTTGCTCTGAAATTTGTGCGGTATTTTCAACTACTTCCTCTAATCCGCTCACGCAAGCTGCAGAACCAGTAGTCGAGCTAATAATTTCTTGCGGATTATTTAAAGATTTTGTTAAAGTTCCGTATACAGCTAAAGTAATGGTAGTATACCAGCCTCTTAATACCAAACCATCTGTTGGTATTTGTTTCCTTTCGCATTCTAATTGAATATGAATGTTTTGCTTATATTCTAATTCTCCGAGCGATTCGAACGTCGAAGCTCCAGGTTTACTTAAATCGTTAACAAAAAATTCTATTTCGAATTGCGATGGATTTGTTGCTCTAAATTAAAGTAAGACAATTATTGAAAAAGAAAAAAGATCATTTTTTTTATGTATAAGACAACATTAATAAAAGTATCAAATACCCTAAACGGACACCTCCAGGAAAGTCTGCTTGTACTCTAGCACCTAGTGGAATAATTCTGACTTCGCTAATATAAACAGGTTTTGGAAATTGTACTAAATCCAGATTAAGTTCCTGAAAATGGCATTATTATTTAAGTTGCAATATTCGTACGACATTATATTATGTATGAAAACAATCTTATGCATACCTCCGAAATGTCGTGTGAAAAAGTATCAAAAAATAATAATTCTGTATTATCCATGTTTTATTTTTTTCAATATATACTTTGTAAAATCGTGTTTATATTATTTTATTCGACAAAACAACCATTTTTAAATCTTGTTTGGCCGTTATCCTTAACCTCAAAATCATTTTTCTACGTTAATACCTTAATCGTGAAATTTACTTATTAAGATAATATTATTTGCCTACGATATTTTAAATTGAAATTAAAATTTTTTATTTCAACGTTGAAAGTATTTTCAATAAATTATCGATACAATGTTTGTAACTGTAATTCAAATTTTAAAATCGGATTTATATTAAACGTCACATGTATTCGTATTAATTCAACTGTATAGAAAAGTACGGCGATAACAATTCGATTTATGCAGTTTGATTTTAAGTATTAATTAATAAAAAACTATAATAAAGAGTACTCGTTACCGCACGTTCTTCTATAATGACATGTATGGACATATACAATTATCCCACAAACTACAGACAAAGAGTAGGGATACAACAAGAGGCAACACTCTTTGTCGGCACCTTTGATATTTTGAAAATGCTGTCCCTTTAAATTGGTCGCGTAGACAAGCGGGAAACTTAAATGAAGTGAATTTAATTTTATATGAATCTTTAATAATTAGAAATCTGTTTGTTGTAAGTTTTCTGTATATTGCGAATATCGGCTTTCAAAGTATTTATATCAATTTTACAATATTAAAAAGTTGAAAAAGAAAGGAATATACTAAAATAATTACTCTGCAAAATCTATTTTAAGAATATATAAATTATATTATTATAATATATAGAAACGATAAAATATTTATTACGAATAAATTATATATGAATATACAGGTATAAATTATCCTTTACTTTAACGACTGCCGTATTTACGGCGAAATCGTATCCCCACACGATTTCATTTCGCAAAAGTATTTAAATTGCTTGTATGATTTTGTCTCTCTTTCTTTCTCTCTCTCTCTCTCTCTCGTTAAAATAATTTCTCTGTCACTGTGCCGTCTCTCGTTGTACCTAAATTTTGACATCGGTCATAAACCTGACGGAGAAAATATACGAATAGTAAGAAAAAATAATGTAAGACAAGACTTTCGAAACTAATATGGACCGAAACTCATCTTTGTATATGCACTATGAAAGTGAAACAAGCATGCGGATTGCATTGAAACGTATATTTTTGTATAAATTTTTGGATCCCTGTATCCTTGATTTTTTAATATTTAACATGACCGAAAAATAAAAGATTACTGAGTATATGCGGCCACCGTAAAAAATAAACATAAATAAAGGCCAGTAAAAGCTTTTTCTGGAAAAATTCATTGTTTTATAAATATGATCTCGCATACAACGAGTAGTATACATGTACTTATTTACTTGAACAAACGCCATCTGCTTCAGTTTGATATCTTCGGTTCTATTCGTTCTACTTCGTTATGAGAGAAATTGTATGTAATGACTAATACCTGTGCAATGCAATCTCCTTGCGAATAAATTTTTTTCCATTGTACATTTTTGTTCGCGATAAAACGTAAAGTTGGAGTATTTTATACATTTGCCCGATTTTAACGGGTACTTTTTGTATGTATTTTATAAGTAGTACTTATTGAATAGCTGTGATAACGATATAATTAATCTGCGTCGCTGGTTGCATTCTTGATTATTTGTAATTTGTTTTAAATTGTGATACGGCTACGATGAAACAAAAATTATATTAGATCAGTAAGTGTGAGGAAGAGGTGTTATTATAGTTTATGCTATGAGACAAAAAAGTATTTAAAACATTTTGAGCGTTATTAGCATCAATTAATCATAGTATGCTTCCTTATATTATTTTTTCTAACAATATGTATAGTTAAATTTCAGTTTTCAAACATGTAATAAATTTTGTTAATGTCGTTTTTAGATTTAGTATTATGTGTACTGCATATTTTATGAACTCTTAAAGAATAAATGAATTACTTTGAAAACATTTGATTATTTCTTATTTATTAAAATGTATCATTCCAGTACATAATTAAAAATTGCAAAAATTTTCTGTTTTATATTTATATTTATCTCTTACATACCTATGCTTTCAAATTGCAACAAATGAAATATGTTTGTCAATTGACTGACGATAATGATAAATATGTTTACAAATGCCGGAATTAATATTTATTTATTTTTAGGAATGGTAGCTGCTGGAGCCACAGTTTTAATGGCAACCAGTGGAGAAAGTTCTTCGAATGGCTCACAAAATGATTCTATTAAATATGAGAATCGGAACATTTGTTCTCCTTATAACGAGGTGCATCATAATCAGCAGAACACAGAATGTTCAATTAAAAAGAGTATAACGCCTAGTGTTATAAATAGTAAGTATTTTAGGTAACTTAAAATTTTTTTGAAAACTTATCTACTTGTAAAGTTAAATGTTTAATATTTAACTCCTTGAATTTTCTGTTTACAACAGTAAATGATAAAATGTCTTTACATACATTTACACAGCCATCGATTTATTATATATAATCTAGTTGTTGCGCAGTCAATAGTACCTCATTGATATGGTTACAAGAGTAGTCAGAGGGTTAAATTAATTTTTTTAAAAACAATTGCCAAAGAATATGTCATTACTCTTATGTATATGCAATCTACTTCAATTTAATGAAATCGATGTTTTTATGATAGGAAACAAAAATCGTACTTCCATATTGGAAAGAAGTAGTCGGTTAATTCCAAGATCAGAGAATAAAGAAAGTAAAAATCTTACATTATATAAAGCAGCGCCAATTCGTGAAACTAAGACTTCTAGATTAAGGGCTGCATCAGTTATATCCCCTAATGGTAAGTTGCATTTTGTTTTCTGTTTTTTGTAGAGCACGCTGTATGTTCTATTACCTTCAAATTTGTTTCATTTATGTAGGTGGATCAATGTTATCGAGAAAATTAGGTGTTTCGGAAGCTTCTGCTCCTTTAGGCCTCCAACCCAGCGGTAGTTTATCGATTAAAGATGTAAGTAGTTGTGTTTAATTTACCAAATAAAAGCTACATCGAGATAATTTAAAAATAGAACATATAATATTATTTCCAGGAAAATTCAGTGTCGGGTAACAATAGTATCATAAATTCTGTGAGAGAAAGGGATAAAAGTTATAAACGGAAATCATATTTAAATCGATCACTTAACGTGGAATCAACAGGAGATCGTTCGTGTCAGTGTGAGTGATCTAACTAAATAGTTATTTAGATTCGTGCTCATATTTTGCAGTGTTGGTTTCTGTGGATTGGCATTTACAAAAATTTTAATATGTATTTTAGCCGAACATAGTGTTAGACAAACCAGAAGACAATCAAATAAGCAAAGTTACATATCTGATACGATATCTACTTCAAATTCTAGTAATCAACGTCAAGCAACAAATAATTTAGATAAAAAATCCTCAGAGTCAAAGGTGGCTTACAGGAAAGTTGGTACTCAAGTTACAACTTCTTCAAAAGCTTGTATATTGCCTTCTGTAAATACATCTGTGAATGCTAAATTTTCGAATATGGAGCGAACTAGGTAATAACTGTACTTTTATCATTATTTATTGTACAATATGTGAGATTAATATAAAAATTAATTTTTTTTATAATAGTGGCGGTCATAGTGATTCAGAAGTTTCACGAAGAGTCGATGCATTAACGGCATTGACGAAATCGGCTATAGAACGAGTGGAACGACTTACGTCGCATACAAATTTGCCAACAAATTACGGACCACAGTTGGAAAATCATTCGTCTACCGTATTACCACACGCAAATCCTTCTAATAGTACCGAAAGTAACTTGAACAATGTACGCGCGTTACAATCATCTCCAAGAAAGAGTTCCATTTTAAAGAAATCAAATGATGAACATTGTCACGACGGATCTTTAAGCCTGCAACATACACCGGTCTCAATTCTAAAACATAAAATGTCTGAAAATGAAATGAATCAAAATTTGTCCAGTTCAACTCATACCGTCTTACCTGTAACATTTTCACCGTCTGTAGTTGAACCAACACACAAAAGACATGGTATTTTAAAGAAACGTAGTAGCTTAGACGAAAGTGAAATACTTCGGCGGCGTAGTTGTTCGCCAGACATTTCGTTTGCCGATAATATTTATTCTGAATTCAGGCCAATATTAAAAAATCAAAGGCGATCGTCTTTGGAAGAAATTATTAAAAGGGATCAGAGCCCAGATCCGCAGCCGACGTCTATATTAAAACGAAAATCATCTAGGGAAGACGATAGGGAAGATCGTCAAATCGCTTCTTTGGAACCACAAGGTATACTTAAAAGAAAATCTATAAATAGCTTGCGATCAAACAACGTTAATCATCACGTGACCATTACAACGGATGCAACAAGTGTGAGTGGTCCCGAAATACTTGATAGCTCCGAGGTGAGGCCAATATTAAAGAAGAAACACAGTAGAGAGGAATCGTTTGGTAGCGATCCTCCGTCCATAGAGCCACGGCCAATATTGAAAAAGAAGTCGAGCACCGAATCCGACGAACATGACGATAAACCTAAAAAGACAATTTTGAAATCAACTCGGAAAAATTCACAAGATGAATGTAATGAAACGGAATTAACCTCGCCGAAAAAGTTATCGATGCTTAGAAGTCGCGTTTTACAAACTAGAACAAGCGGGACAGTGGAAAATGATTCTGTACGACCTATATTGAAACAAACTGGCTGTAAAGAGAGTGAATCACGAGTCCGTTTGAATTTATGCGACGAGACGATTATAAATGATGATGCGTCTTCTAAATCAACAGATGTATTTTTACGGAAAAGAGCACAATCTGTGGGTCATATACAACCATCTAACATCCACAATGAATTTACTGGTGTACTTAACAAACGAAGATCTCTCGAATTAATATCTGTGAATGATACATCGGAAGAGAAATCACAGAAAAAGTTCATGGTAACTAGTAACTCTTCAAAAACGGATCTTCCTCTAAGTAGCGAGAGTGCCAATTCTTCTATTGCTTCCTGCGACACACTGTACGGGTACGTGTTGTTTATATTAATACATTATATTTTAGAAAATGATGTAAAATAATATTTATAATAAAAAGCAACAATTGCGATATATATATATATATATATATATATATATATATATATATATATATATATATATATATATATATATATATATATATATATATATATATATATATATATATATATATATATATATATATATATATATATATATATATATATATATATATATATATATATATATATATATATATATATATATATATATATATATATATATATATATATATATATATATATATATATATATATATATATATATATATATATATATATATATATATATATATATATATATATATATATATATATATATATATATATATATATATATATATATATATATATATATATATATATATATATATATATATATATATATATATATATATATATATATATATATATATATATATATATATATATATATATATATATATATATATATATATATATATATATATATATATATATATATATATATATATATATATATATATATATATATATATATATATATATATATATATATATATATATATATATATATATATATATATATATATATATATATATATATATATATATATATATATATATATATATATATATATATATATATATATATATATATATATATATATATATATATATATATATATATATATATATATATATATATATATATATATATATATATATATATATATATATATATATATATATATATATATATATATATATATATATATATATATATATATATATATATATATATATATATATATATATATATATATATATATATATATATATATATATATATATATATATATATATATATATATATATATATATATATATATATATATATATATATATATATATATATATATATATATATATATATATATATATATATATATATATATATATATATATATATATATATATATATATATATATATATATATATATATATATATATATATATATATATATATATATATATATATATATATATATATATATATATATATATATATATATATATATATATATATATATATATATATATATATATATATATATATATATATATATATATATATATATATATATATATATATATATATATATATATATATATATATATATATATATATATATATATATATATATATATATATATATATATATATATATATATATATATATATATATATATATATATATATATATATATATATATATATATATATATATATATATATATATATATATATATATATATATATATATATATATATATATATATATATATATATATATATATATATATATATATATATATATATATATATATATATATTGAGTTATTTGAGCATATATTTTGGAAAAAAAAGTTTATAAATTTTATAGAAAATCTATAGTCTTATAAATATTATCTAATTATATTTAAATAATAATATTAAAAGATTTCTAATTATTATTATCGTTACGCAACGTTTTTTCTTTTATTAAAATATGCATTGTAATTGGCAATAGTTGTATCATTGTCAATTTCTAATATCTTAAACAATTTGTTTGTACAATTTGTTTGACATAGTGATATATAAGTTTGTAAGACTCTGACACTATGCCAAGTTTAATTATAGATCACCTAGCAATTCTAAAAGCTACCGGAAAACAGAGAATCAGAACATGCATGCAACCTGTATATTTGTTTAAAGATTTAAGTTGTTTTGTTTGAATGCAACTTGTGATTTGTAAAACGTGTCAAGCAAAAAATTTATTTACTTGTCACGTTCATTTTCTGCAGCCGCACATTCAAACGTTCAGAAAACACGATCTAAAATAATTTCCTTTACCAAGATGAATGAATCCATCGATTCTTGTCATATATATATGTATATAGAAATGATAGTTTATTAAACATTTTTTTATGCATATGTCTCTAATAAGATTTTCAACTTATATACATATAACAATAAAAAAATTAATGATGCATCTAATTACAGCACAACAAATGAGAAATTAGTATTAATGGACAAAGAAAAGCAAACAGTTAATGACTTTGAACCCGAGGCAGAAAATAAAGTAAATCTATGTGGGTTTTCTATGGACAACGATACGAGTAACGGTGTTATGTTTTCTGAAAAAATGATTAATAACAAACAGTATTCGGACGATGAGGCGCTGTTGTTACAAAGAAAATTAGACGATACAGATACCCAGGAAACTAATGGTGTACATCGTAGCAATAGCGTTTCCAAGATGACGTTACATTTCAGAAATTTACAGGAAAAAGTAAACTCTATAGAAAAGGATAGTTCATTCCAAAATAAACCGAATAAAGGATCACATGGAATACAAAGGTATAGAGAACGAAAATATCAAGGAAACGATAGATTCAATACACAACCGGTAACTCTTCAAGAAGTACAGGAAGCAGTTTTACAAAACCAGCGCAATATCTCTAATAGAGATTTAAAATCGGATACAACCGACGATGAACTAGATCCTTCTAAATTAAGTTTGGCAGAACGAGTACGTTTATTTAATCAGAAAATTGATACTGAAAAAAGTTCGGTATCAAATAATGCGTCAATTGAAAGGCATTTGCGAAGACGGCCAGCTACTCGATATAAAACGCAACCGGTTACATCCGAGGAAGTTGAAGTAGCATCGCGAATATCCCCATTAAGTACTGGTAATCAGCCTCCATTAGACATGATGTGTAAGTACCATACATTTGTTACGGTAAACTATCGGTGGTACTTTAATTTTTTTTTTTCTTTAATTGAACTTTCTAAAAACGTTGATGGTTTTCAAGGTAATTTACCAAAAAGTATTTTAAAAACTATACAGTTACATACGCATAGTGTACCTCGAACAAAAAGTCCTGAACTCGAAGGTATGAAGTTAATAAAATCCGTACTTAAAAAGGAGTCTGAAGAATTAGAACAACGAACATGCGAAAATTGTGATGTTTTACCACGTTCTATATTAAAATCCAATCAAAAAATGGAAGAGAATAAGGTAACAGTATTATATCCTGATAAAACGAATGAATTAATCGAATCAATACCGATACAAGATCTTATGCAGCAGGATGTAGAGGGTGAAATGAAACATAATTATACTACGCAGTTTGATTTGAGTTCTACATATAAAAAAGATAATGATAAAGTTGGTAAGTAGTTAGAAATTATATAAATGTGTACAGTATGTTTCTGTGCATGTGATATTCAATAGATATAACAATATTTATATGTTCATTAGATGACGTTAGCAAATTTCAAACTGAAACTGTTACATCTAAAGAACACGAAGAAATGCTTCGGACATCGGAAAAGACTTTTGTTCAAAATCATGAAACTCTTTCGAAACAAACTAGGTAATAGATTTCACGTGAAAATATTATACTTTGTATTAGTAACGTATTTTATACATATTTTATATGTGAAAACGTTTTTTTTTCTTTCTTCTTTTTTTTTTTTTTTTAAAAGAATAGAATGTCCTTTCATTTATTTAGAATTGCTGATAAGATTATATTATGTAAAAGAATGTAAAAAATGTGGACATACGCGTATATTATAATAAACTATTTATAGGTATGCTTCGTTGTTAAAGAGCGCCAGTCACCATGCGATTAGCAGCAAAACCAACGAAAGTGACTCGTGTACTGGAAGAACGCAAAAGCAACATCCTGTAGCTCTTCCAGGATTATATCGCAGCGCGACACAAGCAATACCGACGGTAGATACTAATGATGGTCCAAGCATGAGTATCGCGGAACGATTAGCTGCACTACAGCGGAGTGGTACTACAAGTTGGAAAAAACGCATAGCACCGGAATCACCTAATCCATCTGTAATATTTTTTTCTGTTTAAATTGTTGATATCACAGCGATTCTGTTCTAAAATCTGAACAATCTAATATGCATAACTATAATTAACTGAAATCGACGATTAGGATGGATTATCAGCTACTGGCTTGCTCGGTAAAGAAGAGTTAAGCATTAAACAAGGAGTACTAGCCGATTGTCTTGGAAAGTTAGAATCTGCTACAGAGGGATGGAGAAAGAGAATAGCTGCATCGGACGTAACAAAATTTACAGTGGCTGGTAAAATGAAGGTAGAACAGCCAGAGAATTTGGATCCAGGACCATCTTCGCCGCTTATCGAAGTTACAGGGAGTATTGCAGATAGAAAGAAGAAAACGCCTCGACCCGAACGATTCAGAGCGAAAAAAGGTAATGTAATTTCAAATTTAAAACCGAAGAAGAGAGTACTGGAAATGCGGAAATGTATTTTCAAACAGGATACGCAAAGGATGTTGCGTCTACGCCGACTAGTCCAAATAAAGCTTCGTATATTAAGTCGCGAGGAAGCTTTTCTGAACCTGCCAGCGAAGACAGTGGTTAGTAGATTGTTTAATAGGTAGGTAATTAATTTTCAATTAAAGATTACGTTGAAGCTCATATATTTTATTAGGCGAAGAATTGAAAGCGGGAAAGAATACATCACCTGTGGTATCAGTACCTAAGATAGACGATGAAACGTTCACTTCGTTTTTCACTGGAATTTCATTAGAAAAATGTGAGACTGAATCTATTGATTTAAACGAGACCGATTTTGACATGATTACCTCGCAGTCTGAATTGTAAGTGTAATTTCTCTTGTTAGCATATATCACTGATTATATTTGGTAATAACATTTCGAATAAATTTATGCGTTTGTAGATTAGTTCAGAAACGAAATCTACATTTAAAACGACGACGTGTCGTATCTAGAAATCCCCTTAAATCGCTTGCAGCTCGTACCGATTTAAAATCAGAATATACCGAGATACGGACTGGTATTGCAGAGAAGGTAATGAAACAATTAAATGTCGAAAAACGTAAGTCATTGTAATATTTTGTTATACGTATACTATTGACGTCACACGATACGTTTACTATATCATTGTATTATTTTATAGTAGCCAAAAATTCATCGTTAGCAATGGAAGCTTTAGCAGGCCTAGCTTCTACCGAAGATTTTAGTAATATAACGCTAAGGAATGTTATGGAAACAAATATTTCAGCGAACAAGCTGCAACCATATAAAGATAAAATGTTGATTTTAATTAAGGGCAGACGTCACATACAAGTACGATTAGTTGAGCCAGTCGCAGAAAGTATAAATAGCGGTGATAATTTCGTTTTGGTAACAAAATCGGAGGTAATTAATAGAACAATATTTATTTATTTGTAATATTTTAATAATTAATATATTTTCAATTTTCAGGTTTATAACTATGTTGGAAAGTATTGCAACATCATTGAAAAAACTCGTGGTGCAGAAATAGCGTTGAGTATTCAACAAAACAAAGACCTTGGTTGTCAAGCATCTCAAGTGATTACTATTAACGAAGATAAAATAACTTGTACAAAAAGTCAGTTGCAAAAGTTTTGGAATTATCTTGGAATCGAAAGTGAAGACGTGAATGGTAAGATGATATCTGTCATGTAACGCTAATATGAAAATAATGAAAATAAAAGAGTAACAAATATATATTGACGGATAATAGTTATCGATGGCGGGCATCCTGACGAGGATGAACTTTATGAAACGGTCATGATGGATACGAACATGGTATATGAAATTAAAGATGAAGAATTAGTACCTCTCGAAAAATTTTGGGGTGCTATACCAAAAATTGAAATGCTTGATCCAAATAAGGTTTCTAATTATGAAAAAACTTCGTTTCGATATTATGCGCACGTACATGTTTTCATTTATTAACGAATAATCGTCTTTTTCTTTTCTCAGGTTTTGGTATTTGATTTTGGCAGTGAAATGTATATATGGAGTGGAAAAGGAGCTTCTGCTGATAAAAAAAAACTTGCAACGCATCTGGCTACAGAAATGTGGCAAGAAGGATACGATTATTCGGAATGTGCCGTATGTCCAATCACCGCCGCATCTATGATCGGTAGACGTACTGTATCAATAACGGATTTAAAATCTGCTAAATTCAGACCAAAATGGTGTTTACTCGCCAAGTTGACACAGCACGTGGAAACGATACTTTTTAGAGAAAAATTTCTCGACTGGCCAAATGTGTCTAATATAATACGAGTTAAAAGCGCTAAAAGTAAAGAGCAAGTTGATGGAACCATAACCATCGAAGTGTGCAATATTGATAATCTGCTAGAAGAAAATAATACTGCTGTTGATCTAATTCTTGAAGGAAGTCATTTAGGTAGAGGTACTGGTTGGTACGATGACGAGGTAATTATATATTTTTTAATAATATATGTATGATGTACATTCAACGTATGATTTAAACGCTTCATTTTTCACAATTTAATTCTCTAGTTAATGAAACAATACGTTGTTACCACGACTGGAGTGAAGGTGTGGCACATCGATGAATTCTCTCATACTTTGTTAGATGACTCTTCCATTGGTCAGTTTTATTCTGGAGACAGTTATATTGTACGATGGATGTATTCCGTTACAATTACTGGTAAATATCAAATTTATAGCGAAATTTCGTTTTAGATCATTAACTTTGATCTTGTTTATCGATACATTACGTAATTCTTTATGCAGGTCGAGAGCTTAGTGGTTTACCGTCAAAGCATTCTGCGAAGGGTCGTGATCGTTCGGTGTATTTTATTTGGCAAGGGCAGAATGCGTCTTTGAATGAACAAGGTGCTGCAGCGTTACTAACCGTTGAATTAGATAATGATCAAGCGCCTCAAGTAATTATTAATAAAATCTTACTAAAAGTACATGTAACTTATATAAATCGTTGAAATTTACGTATACGCGCACATATTTTGTAGCTTCGTGTAGTTCAAGGACATGAGCCGGCTGCATTTTTAAACTTATTTTCTGGAGGAATGATCGTACACTGTGGCAAGAAAACGAATACAAAATGCGACGAGCGATGGCGATTGTACATATGCCGAGGTACTTTAGAGTCAGAGGTGTCTTTAATAGAGATTCCTTGTAGCACTCGCCAATTACGAAGCAGAGGTTCTCTCATATTGCTGGATACCGCAAATAATAAAATTTATATATGGCATGGATCTAATACATTATCTCACATTAAAAAGGTACACTTTCTAACTCCTAATCGTAAAACTTTAAAATGACTTTAATACATTGAACTTTTTACATTCTACAAAATGGAAAAATGAATGTTTTTAGAACATATTTAAAGCAGCAACACTATTGCAAAAAAATCGACCTCCGGAAATTGGCTTGTCATCTGAAAGTAGTATAGAAATTCTTGAAATTAATGAAGGAATGGAACCGAAAGAATTCATTAGTGGTAAATAGAAGCGTAGATGTTTAATATCGCTTTATTATTACGACACGTATTGCTTAATAAAATGAATTTGATTGTACAGCATTAGGTAGATTGAACAAAAAATTGTATGTATCGCTGGAAAAGGAACGATTACAAGAACATACTCCAAGACTGTTTCATTTATCAAGCATTTCAAAAGAATTTAAACCTGTAGAAATATTGTGTCCTCATCGTGCTTCTTTACCAAATCCGTTTCCTTTTCTACAAGAAGAGCTGTATCAAGCTCACCAGCCAGGTATTTTATATTTTACTGAACCTAAGTGAGGTCATTTTGCGTGGATCGCATTGAATATAAGACCATTAATTTATCATTTTAGCTTTATTTTTGTTGGATAATAAAAACGAATTATGGATATGGCAAGGTTGGTGGCCCGATAACGGAGGAGAAGATCAGTCTGGTAGTAAAGCAGTAAGATGGCAAGCAGAAAGAAGAGCAGCCATGACAATGGCGATGCAATACTGGCAAAAAATTCATCCAGAAACAAATAAATATCCAATTTATTTAGTCTGGGCTGGTCTAGAACCATTACAATTCATCAATTTGTTTCCCACATGGTCATATCGTGATGACATAGCGGAACTAAACATAGAGGTATTTGCATATTTATCAAAATTATTGATGATACAGACTTTGCTGACAGAAGGGTGGTACATTTCAAGATATGTGAGATTGATTGTACAACCAAACTGACCTGAAACGTCGAAAAATTATGAAAATTTGAAAATAATAAAAGTATAATTATGAATAAAACATTTCTTTTACAAATAGGATGGCCGGAAGCCTGGTGAGGTATTAACTGTAGAAAGTGAGTTAAATCGATTAACGCAAAGCACGTATCCTCCGGCTCAATTATTACAACGACCTTTACCAGAAGGAGTCGATCCTACACGCTTGGAACTGTATTTATCCCAACAACATTTTCAAGTAAATTTTATAACTTATGCAAATCATTAATTAGTAAATTGATTTCAATAACGAAAGACACATAATTAATATTTCTAACAGGAATTGTTAGGTATGACTAAAGAAGAATTTCAAGAACTTCCAGTTTGGAAACAGATGAATCTTAAGAAAGAAATAGGACTTTTTTGATAAAACGTTCAGACTGCCGATCCTACAAGAAATAGCTGCCCCTCGTGAAGCGATTATTAAAGTTTTTTTGTTAATTGTTTTATGATGTTTAAAAACTTCAGATTTATTAATTTTTCAATGTATCCGCGTTTAAGATACGCCTAAAGTTGCCTATCGACAGAAGAAAAAGAAAATACTAATATTATAATGCAATTGAAGATGTTTACTACTAATATTTCAAATATAATATATACTACATGGTGCGCGTGTATGTATACATACTGCGACGCATACACAGATAGGTGATTATATATTTTTAATACATATTAAACGTAAAAAAATTGGCTTGTGAATATTTCCTTTATATTTGTATGAGCTTTGTATTCAATGATAATACAGTATGTTTAGAATGGCTTATTCTTACATGTGTAACATTTGTACAAGAGCAACTGTATTCTTTACAACATACTCCATGTTTTTGAACAGTATTTAATGAAATTTCTCAATGTTGCTTCGATTTTTATTTCATAACCCTCCCATAATCCTAAAACGATCACACGCATACTATATATGCCGTAACATTCGTTATGGGAAAATGTTGCGCAGTTCACTTCATCAAAAATAATTCTTGCTGAAGTACGTATTGAATAGTGTAGCATTATTTCGTGTACGACGCACTCTAACTATACGGGTTCCCATTCATATTATAATCCGTTGACAGATCCCATTCGCGTAAACTTTTGGATACAGTAGTAGTAGTAGCAGTAGTAGTAGTAGTAGTAGTAGTAGTAGATTCTCAAATTTCCAAATACCTGAAAATCTAAATTTCCATATCCTTAAATTCTCTAATTTCTAAATCTTCGATTCTTAAATGTTTGCCTCTCGAACATCCGAATTCTCAAATTTTTTAATTCAACGTTGTAAAATTTCCAAATTCCATATATACAAATTTTCAATTTCGATCCCGGTTCAAAGCCATATGACGAAACTTTATTGCACATATGTATAATTTCATTTTACATACCGTATGTATTTGAGATTTATATGACATCGGAATAAAATATATTGTTAAATTTATAAAATAATCGTGAAAAAAACATATGTTCAACAAAATTAATCAATAGAGTTTATTATTGTAATGCAAAGAAAAAACAAGTAGAAACAATTTGGTACATTAAGTTTTAAATATCTGCTATAATTAATCAAATGTACACGTATTTTTTAACGGCAAATTACAAATGTGTGTTCTTTTTTTATTATTTTATAAATTCACCAAGGCACAAGATTATGTAAAATACAAAAGAATTATAAATCAACTTCGAACATATAATTCGGTTCAAAATTTGTTAACGTGTGCAAAGAACGTAAATTCACTGCAATGCTTACAATGGTCGTTTCGTTATTCTAGAATATTCATATTCTATGAGAAATTTACATATACACACATACGCACGTAGTCATTCTCACGTACAAGCACGCATATACACAGAACGAGATACGCCACATATATTTATCTCGAATAACATAAATTAATTATGCAGTTTATAAAAAAAAAGAACATGATATACGCGTGTTATCTGATTCAACGGATACATTTATTACTTTAATCATTTTTTTCTTTTTCTTTTTTTCTTTTTTTTTTCATTTCTAAGGGAATGTAATAAAATAAATTTTAATACACGCTTAAGTTATCAATTTTTCAACAGTTACGTAATACGATTGAATTCTTGAAATACACAATAATGAAAAATGATTAAAGTAACATGTATTCATTTTGAAACATAATATATTCGTATATATTATAATAACTTTTTACGTAACGCATAACTTAAAAGTAATTAAAGGCAAAATGCCTTACAATTTACGTACTAAGATATACATGTAAATCTATCGTATCTAAATTTTCTAATATTAAAATAGTTCATCTGATTAATTCATTTTGCACATTACGTCGTATCTAAAATCGTGCGTAATGCAAAATACCACGTGAGAGTCATGATTTCTTTGTTCACTTTAACGTTTCCAAATGAACCCTCTTATTATTTTCGTATCCAATTAACATTATCTGTATTGGAACATAACACTAGCGCTTTTATTCAAATCGTTGGACATCTGTAGCACATAATTATATGTTTTATACGTTTATTTTACAAAGTTATAGATTAAATTTGTAATTAATTCACTGATACAAAATAATTCACATATAAATAGTTAAAATTTGTAAAAATCATCATCAATTATATGTATACTTTAATTTTACAAAAAATGCACAACAAGAATATAATGTTGAATTAAATTGTATCCGATTCAAACATATGCATGACACAACTAATTTAAAAATGATTTTGTCTAGAAAGAATATATATATATGTTATATAACAAGTGACAAATATGTATTTACATTTTCATATTGTTATGCATGTTATAAAATGTTACTACCAAGTGTAATACTTCGTCAAAATATTTATTTCTTTTTAAGTTAAACGTAAAAATAAGAGAAAGTAAATATACAATATAAACGCAACATTACCGTTTGCATATTCACAGAACTTTTCCATCAATATAAGCCTTTATGGCAGTTTGACATTCTATGGAACACCAATGTTGGATTAGTAAATAAGTCTCTGATTCCAATGCTGCATCCAATTTTTTTCGCAGACCATGTCTTAGTAGTGTTTTCGTAGCTTCCATAGACTGAAAATGATTAAACAGAGCATTGAATACAATACATATGCAAATAAAGAGATCAGAACATGTATAAATATTAATTAGCTCCACACTTATTTAACTTCTAGATAGAGACGAGTAAAACATTCTGCTGTTACTTGCAACATAAGTTTGATTCTTTTAAACAACCATATATTTAGAAAAATGTTGGTTTTAACTTATTTTCTATTATCTACGATAACCAAATGTTTTGCCGGTTATACTATAATCAACAGCAAATTAAACAATATTACATTCAAATATTCAGATGATGTATGTACAGTTAAAAACAAATCAGGTAAAAAACAAATGTATAATTTATAATATTTAAAATGCAGATTAACGGAGAAAGTGATTTACACGAATGTAAGATTAACGAGGTGTGTAACGTGATTTATGATCGATTTTGGGTATCCAGTTTAACCGAAAGAATTTGTCGTTGTCCCAATAGAAAGGAATGTCTTTGGCAATGGTTAAAAGAACCTGAAGATATGTCTCTCCAGCTTAACAACAAATCATATATGAAGGTATGCATAAATGTTTATTATAGATTGCAATATAGAAAATTGGAACTTATTTCTTGTAGTTTTGTTCTCCGATAGCAGAAATGAATGTGTGTACGCGTAACGAAGAAGCGGTACAAATATATGGTAAAAGTGATCGAAATAACTCTTACTTAACGCCATATAACGTCACTTTGCATTGTACTTGTCCAGAGTCACATTTCTGGAGACTTCAAAAATACGTGTACGAGGAAAATGATTTAATTGTGCAAACGTTCAAGTGTGTCAAGGTATATCTTGAAAAATTAACAAGATTAATAGATGTCTTGTATATTCTAATAAATTTCATTATATATTTTTTTTTCACACAGAAAAGAATGTGCGTTACTCGAGAATTTTGTGGGCACATACGAGCTGATTTATATTCGACGTATTATAAGTGTACTTGTCCTCAAAACCATTTGTGCATTTTTAAAGATCAAAACAAGGAGAACGTTCAAGAATTACTTTATTCGGGACCTGCTTACAAAGGATATTGTATTCCGTTTGAAAATATGTAATATTTAGTTGTTGAAATGTTCATGTAGAAAAAATACATACCTGTGAAGATTGTTCGCTCATTAGTTTTAAAGTTGGTAATAATTCCACTTGAAATCTGTCTGGCCATAAAACTCGAGTTACAAGACCAGCTCTTAACGCTTCGCTGGCCGTTAAAGTTCTTCCACCTAACAATAATTCGCTCGTCTGTAAAAAATAGAAATCCATAATGAAATAACACGTTAAAATATATGTATGTATCTCTGTATACGCGTTCAACACTTACAATTGCACTTCCTAATATATGCGATAGGGTGTAAACAGCTGCGCCTTCGGCAATTTGACCCAATTTTCCATAAGGTGTACTAAATGTTGCTTTATCGCTAGCTATAACAAGATCGAACAAAGGTAACATTGTTACTCCAAGTCCAATCGCAGCACCCTGAATCCCAGCGACAATGGGTTTATTGAATGATGCTAAAGTTTTAATAAAGTCTCTAAATTTCCGGGAAAAAAAATTAACTGAGTTTAACATATACGCAACATTAATAGGATTTTTACAATAATAATTAAGCACACACTTAACGGCATCAGCCAATTCTTGGGCACGAATTCGCCGCTCTTCTTTATTTGCATGTAAAAGCGTAGAAAGTTCAAGACCTTCGCAAAAACTGCTGCCTGTTGATGTTAGTAAAACAACTCTACAGTCATCATCTTTCTTTAAAATAGATAATGTTTCACGAAACTCTTGCATCACCTACAAATTTAATAAATAACTGATATTTTATAAATCTTTAACAAAATATTAAATACAATACCTGAAGAGTAAGAGCGTTCCTTATTTTCGTCGAAGATGACGGTGTAAGTATTAATTGAACAAGATTACCGTGTCGCCGTACGTTTATCTCTTTGTTACTGAACTGACTACGAGTTTCCATTTTTGTTTTATTATCCGATTCTACTGTCTTAGTAATACTTGCATTTACTGTAAAAAATAAATTTTTTAACTAGCACTTCATATCATAAAGTAATAACGATATTGTGTAATTATAACATGTTATTTTTAAAGATTACTCTTCTCACCTTTGCTTTTACGGTTTGCCGTCGAATTTCCAGATCGACCTCCAGCACTAACTACTGCAAGCGCATTCGCGGCTTCAGCGAGACAGGCTGAAAGTTCATCTTCTTTTTTGGACAATCCCTCATCGTTATCCTGCTCGCTTGTTTTAGCAAATGTAACTTTGTTTTTTGTAGTTTTCTTTGTTTTAGATGTTACCTTACCTGTAGCTGCACCATTAGACCGGGTGATAACTTTGCCTAAACCACTATTAGTCTCATTTATTATAGTAATTTCTGGGTGTTTAGAACTTTTATCAGTTTTTTTCGAGTCTGATTTTTTGTTCAAGCGTACAGGAATAGACGTTTTGTCTTCCGTATCTGTAACAATTTCTGTATCTGTTTTTGATGAAACTCTTTTTTTAATTTTCTTTACATTTATTTTATCATCCTGCGAATGCCTTCTCTTTGCAGATCTCAAAGAATGAGGTCCACCTTCGTCAACTTTAACTCCTTCGCTTTTTTCTAGGCTATCGGTGCTAACTCTAGGACTTCCAGATGCACTAGAAAACGAACTAGACGAGTGTCTTCTAATTATAACAGATGCATCCGCTGCATTTCTTATTTTTGCAGGTAAAATGAACTCCTGAGATGGTTCGCTTATTGGTTTTACAGACATAACTTGATCCCCAATTTTCTTATCTACATGCATATCGTTTAAATATACAGACGTTCTTTTGGACCTCGAAGAGACTTTCGATACACCTGCTGCCGAAGTACGTAATCTTAAAACGGCATTACGCACCAATTTTTTCCTGATCTTAAGTTCACGCTGTACTTTTTGTATGTCCATAACTTTCGCTTGAGACTTAGTAATTGGAATTAATCGTTTTTTATCTGGTTGTTCCACGTCGTATAGTAAATTCACAACACCTTCGTCCTGCAGTAATCTATCTATTTCATTTATGATCTTTTTTTTGGGTTTAGTTTCTCCGGGGCTGTTTTCCGTTACTCGTTTTGATTTTGAAACAAGTTTTGATCCACTCTTTTTCGACGGTACATTCAATTTTGTTTTTAAAGTAATAGCTTTTTTATTAGAAGTCATATTTTGCCTCAATATCTTTTTAACTACCATATTCCTTGTAGTAATAGATTGTGATTCCTTTTTACTAAGATTTTGTTTCGGACGTTTTAAAAGTATATTCTCGGACTTGTTCAACGTTGAATCAACTTTATTATCTGTAACTTGTTTCGCTGTTACTACTTTTGTTATTGTGATGTCAACATCGTCATCGTTTACATTATTGACCGGTAAAACACTTTCTTCGGATGCATAATTTTCGAATAAACCAATGTCTGTTGTAATTTGTAATGGTTTTTCTTGAATTTGCTTTTTATTTAACAAACTTTTATTTTTGTTTATTTTTTGCCGTTTTACAATATTCTGCTGCTGTTCATGTTCTCTAGCTTTTTCGGTAAGTTTACGTTTTCTACCAGATCTTGATTCATCCAGCCGCACATCTGACGTGTTTACTTCTGCATTTTTTTCTGAAGCATGCTGTTCAACGCTCGCAGAGGAGGTGTCAGACTCAGGTTTTGTATCCTTTGAAGATGATTCGGTAGTTTCGTCTATTAAATCAATATTAACAATTTGTTTCTTTACATCGGATACAGATTTTACCCCTACATCTTTAGAAATTTCGTTTGTAGGTGTAGGTTTAAGTGTTTTCTTTTTTCTTGCCGTGCTTCTCTTAACTGGGGTAACAGGTAATTCTAAAAGTTGTTTCAGTGCCAGTTCTCGTTCAACCAACGGATCAAGTTTTGGCGGTGTATTATGTCCAGTTTGTTCAATGTTCATCGGATGTTTTCCCTCTTCGGTTAATGTCGGTGGTTTTAAGTTTGACCAATCTGGATCAACGTCACCTTCCAATATTGCTAAAAGTTCTTTATTATCAGAACTGCTTTCTTTATTAATTGTTACGCCTATATTATCTATTGATTTTTTCTCGCAATGAGTAGATGATTGAGTAGTCGATTGAGGCAATGGTATAAGGGCTGGTAAAGAACTTGTTGGGCTACCTGCTAATTTGCTCGATAATCTTTGAGTTAGTTTCTTCACAAAAAATATGTCAGGTCCAGGCGGCGCCTCCACAATTTTCTGTTTCTCACGAAGTCTCTCTTTCAATGCTTCTGTTACCTCGGCTGGTGAAGCTATTTGGCTAGTTAAATTACGACCGCGACTAACACTGGGCGTAATTTGTGTTTGTGACGATGACGTTTGATTACATGCAATCGAATCATGAGTTACGTCCTTTAGAGCGTGTTCAGAATTTTGTAATACCGGTAAATTAACTTGGTCCTTATGCGATGGTTTTACGCTACTTTGAATATGTTGTTTGTTCACAGTTTTATTATTACCTATTTGTTCTTTTGATACCTGTATATCTTTATTTTCTTTAATAACTTGTACTACTTTTTTCGTATCCGTACCGAACTCTTCTTTTAAACACGTGATCTCTTCTTCGACTAGTACAACAGTATCCTCTTCTATTGTCTGTATTGTTTTTGTATCGTTTAATAAACTTTTTAATTCAATTTCTACAGTGTCTTGCATTTTAGAAGCTGACTGATTATCGTCTTCCACATTTTCATCGCGCCAGTCATCAAAAATATCTTGAATCACGCTTCTTTTGTTAGATGTATTAATTTTGTTTACTTCGCTGGTAGATATATCTTCCTCTTTTCGATTATCTACTTGTACAGGTATGACAACTTTATTACGAATAACTTCATTACCTTTATACGAATTATCACATATGTCAGTCTTGCCTTTATCGTTTATCTCTGCTTGTTTTATGTTATTTATTTCATCGTTATTTTTGTTGCATTTTTTTTGCATTTCATTGCTATCCACATTAACGTTATTCAGAATTTCTGACTTTGTTACTTCCGAACTGGCAGAAGTTATAGAATCTTTCTCGGAAACAGTATGGTTCAAGATTTCTCTATTGCATTGTCGACTACACGTTTCAGTTACTTCTGAATCTACAACCTCCGTAGAAATCACTTCTATTATAGTTCCATCATTTTCTTGAGCATAGTCTATCAAATTAAATTCTTCGTTTATAATTTCAGTGTTTTTTGTTTCTTTTTGATCCGTTGAAGTATCATTTTCATTGGAATCTACTACTAGGTCCTTTTCGTGTACTGTTAGAACAATATTTTCTTCTGTTGTTTCATTAGAATCGTCGATGGTAGTTTCCACAGTCACTACCATAACTTCTGAATTACCATCGTTCAAAGTAGATAAATCTGCATCTGTGTCAGCAACGCGCGAAGATTCGTCTTTGTCTTCAAAAGTTTGACTTAGTGTCTTAATTAATGCTTGACACTGAGCATTAGTATCATCGACTGTACTTATGTTTAACACTGTACAAACATCATGTTTTTCAATAGTTTGTTTATTATCTTCCGTTTTAATTACATCGATATTACTTGAAAATTTTGTACTTTCGTTATCCAAACATGTATTTTCTGTGCATTCGTTCTTAGTTTCGGTCGAATCATTTATTTGGTTCTCTTTATTTTCCTCCTTGATCTGTGTACACTGATTTTCACCAATTTGCGTATCATTATTTATTACCTCTTTTTTAGATTCACCAATAGTAGAATTATTCGTGTCCGCTATTATTTCAACAGTGTTGTTAACTTCTTCGATTGCACCTTTTACGTCGCATGCATTTAAGGGAAAAGCATTTTGAATTGTATTATCTGCACAATCTAATAGACTACTTTCCTGACCTTCAGGAATATTTATTATATTGTTACCATTTGCTTCCGATTCTAACGACAAAGATAAATTTTCTCCTTTTATTGGTTTCAATTGTATAGTATCACCGTGTACTTCATCTATTTGTTCCATGTTAAAACATAAAGATTATTACAATTATTTAACAAATCATGGACTGTCCTGTTAATAAAAAAACAAATAATTAGTATAATTGATATTTAAAAATTGATAAACAGAACAGTTAGAAATGAATATTTATTGAAACTTATTTGTTTTTGTTACTTCAATTTATCTAAAAAAGTTATTAAACCATACAACTGGAATTTCTTTACATGTTCGACGTTGAATTAAGCAATTTTTTTAAACCTATCATAACCTTACACAGATTCTTGATTTATTCAGAAAATAAATTTGCTTTTCTTTCCGTTAAGTAAAATGCAAACAAAATATCATATAACTTGTACGACAAATACATTTTCAAATTAATGTTAATGTAAAAATCACAAAAGAAAAACTATGATATATTAATTTTTCGACAATTTAGTCACAATAAATAACGCACTGCACAACAATCCACTTATAACAATTTAACGATTGTACATATATATATTTGAATTGTTCGATAATAATATTATCTGTTCCGTTTAATTGAAAGCTCTTTTACTCTTGCTTTTTCTTATTATTTAATTATATTTTTGTCAGTTGTACAAAATAATATTAATGGCAGGGCAGAAAACTTACCAACCAGGACTGCCTTGTCCATACTGTATAGAATGCAATAAGAATTACATATTATTTAAGTATTACGATCATCTTTTTAGAATAAGAAAACCTTATTCGTTAAATATCTTACATAAATCGCACTCTGATAGATTTCACGCGAAAAAATAATTACTTCCTTAAAATCCAAACACAATGTTTACAAGAATGAAGTCAGAGGTTCATACTACTGCTATCAATTTAAATACTCTTATTTAAATTTTTTATTACACAAATATAGTTATCATAGGATAAAATAAATCCTTAATTCGAAATAAAAGCTTGTCATATATTCTGTCAGAGTATAATAAAAATATTAAACTTGCGGGATATGTTCGATAATTTTTGTATAATAATTAAGTAAATGGGGTTATCACTGGTTCTAACATAAAACTAATGTCTTTACGAATAGTCAATTAGAGATAAAAAAAAAGTATTTCATTTAAATATACGTTATATTACATTATATTCAACGGCAATAAATTAACAATGTCATAATTGACAATGTTATAATTATTATGTTATATTGATATCAAATTTTTGAATTTGTAAAAGTATATTATTTCATTATTAAAATATTAATTTGTTAATAATACGTGTAGCATTAACATGCAATCAAATTTAGGGTGTAAGATTGACTATAGATAAACATGCTTTGCTTTCGAGTTTTCTCCCGCATAGAAATTGAATTTATGAAATAATAGTGGTACACAGTACCGTATAGTCAAACGAATTTTCGTTTGTTTCGCGCATAATTCTAATTAGTAAGCACGTTCCGTAACGAAGAGTAACGCGCATGCACCCTTAGTAACCCTTACGAGGATCACCACGCCAAACGTGTATATTTGGTGATCTTTTATTTAGCATACTCTTTCGTATCGTTACTGTTTTCCTTTATTCATACACTTTCGCTTACTATAAATAAATATATATATAAATAAATACTATGTCAAACATTATAGTTGTCCATATAAATATGTATACATTGTTATTTATTTTGTCACGTTCTTCTACAAAATTAGTTTTTTATATCTTATTTAGATATAAAATATATACAAAACATTATATATCATTTTAATTAACCACTGTTAATTGATAACTTTGCAGCTCAGGGATCGATCAATTTAAAAAAAAAAAAAAATGTTAAATACAATAGTTGTAGGATACGAAGGAAGGAACAATGTCACGGGCTTGATATTTCTCAGCGTACATATTTTTTGGTTGGATTTCTATTGGAAGATCACATCAAGGTTAACTCCTAACTCTGTTGGCTTCAAATTATAAATGGACATAACGAAATCTTTTTTTTACACAATCGGTATTTTATTACGCGAGATACGAAGTAAAAATTTATTCATTGGATCTTGTATCGTTCTCCGTCTGTGTGAAGTTAACACGATGCCGAAGAAGGCTGAATAAAAAAGATATTGTTCTACTATTTAAAAATTGTTTGTATTTGAATATTTAATGCAACCCATCAATGGGTGAAGGCTAATGCTTTAGGAATCTCCGTATTGTACTATGTATTTCGCGGCGCTTCTGGGTGACGCAATGTGAGCGCATCAGTGTCACTTTTCATTTCAAAGCTCATAACAGTTTTTTTACAAATTTTTCGTTTGTTGCACTCTTCTGTTTACTTCCTATCAAAGTCAAATAATCTTTGATCGTTTTTGTACACGGTAACGGTATAATATTATTTTTTCGCAAGAATTCATAGTAACTTTGCGATCTGATATTCATTAACATGCAAAGCAATATGAATTTATTCGTGTATCGGCATCCTCTTGGGTCACATTTTTGAGCGGATGAAACGATTTCTTGCACGATCGATTTTTGATTCTTCGAAATTTTTTCCAATACATCACGCGAGACGTTAGCGACTTTAATTTTCTGATTCAGTACGAAGTTTGTTAATACCTGAAATCTCTTCTTTGAACGATAAGTTTCCGCAGCGCGGAACTTTAGCTTTTTCTTTAAAGCTTTTAATTTCATTTGCTCGAGAGGATTTGCAGAATTAGATATACGTTGCATATTTTGTTTGTCTTTTATCCTTTTAACTTTTTGGGACAATATTTTAGAGGCTTTCTTACAAGCAATGCATCTTTTACTATGAATGGATAATACAGAACAATCTTTATGTCGTAAATTGGAATAAATGTCTCTTTTGAAATCTCCTTGATTTTGTACATAATCTAAGTCTACCGTCATAATCCCTTCGCACGTCCGTAAATCCTTAAATTTTTTTAAAATCTCCGGTAACGTTGAAATCATTTTCAAAAATTTTGGAAGTTTTGCTGGGGTAATATCGACAGGGGTAGAATAAATTTCGTAGATCATTTCCCTAGAAGCCTTAATTGTAACAGCTTTTTCGAGAACATGTTTTTGAATTCCGTATTCATCGATTTGTACGATGCACGATAATAAAAGAGTTTCTTCTGATGCTTTTATCAATTTATTTGCATTCCATGGTTTTGGCAGTTTCATACGTAAATTATTCTCGATGCTATCCTCGCCTGTTTGAAAGAAAAATTGATGTAAATTCCGAAATTATGAAATTTTCAAGCTTCTAAATTTTAGAAGCCACTTGTGATCATGCCTGATGCGGGCACTGGTACTGTTATTATAGCTAGGAAACCTACTAGATATCTATATACATATTTTTACAATCACACCAAGAATAATAAAGTATTTAACAAAGTAAATAAGTAAAAGTAAAGAAATGATTATTAAAAATTTGGCAAGTTTACTTTTAATAATATCATTTTAAATTAAAGTAATATACTACCATAGCAACTTAATATGTATTTTGAATTTGAACTTTTTCAGAAATCGAATAGATACCGTATTTACCTAGAGATTTTAAGTTAAACGAGACAGAGTCGAAAGTAACATTGGTCCAAGCATCCTCTTGTGCTTTATCATTCGCTGTCAACAACTTAGATCTTAAAATATCATTCGCTGCACACTGATACTTTGTTTCCGCATGCTTATTCGGTAGCGCATCTTTGGCTAATAAGTCATATAAGTATATTAATTTAGACGTAATTAAATGCTGCTAACTAAATTATTATTACACTGAATTCTTTTTTAATTTTAACAATCCAGAAGAAATATTATTTTGTAAATAATATTATTACGATATATCGTTGTTTATTTTAACTAGCGAAAATACAAGGAAAAAGCCTGGGAAAATAAAAGTACCGTTTTATTCGTATATTAACTTTTTCTGTAATAAAAAAGCATCCAGTACTTACGTCGAAGAGCAACATTGGATTTAATGTCAGAAGTTGCAGAAACGAATAAATATTCAGAATTCGTGGGTACAAACTCCGGTTTAATTTCTGTAGATGCATCTTCTAAGTCGAATTCACATTTCGTAGTATTTTCAATATTATTCGATAAATCGTTAGCTTGCAATTTATTTGTTGTCAATGTATCTGCTGACACTATCGATATAAAAGTCATTAGTAGTTACTATTAATTGTTTTCATATTAAATAGCTATAAATGTAATTTGTTCGTTTTTTTGAATCTCTTGAAATAGATTTTACGAACTTACTACACAGATCGTTAGAATTTATATCCAAATTACTGAAAGTATTTACACAAACAGTTTCAGCATCGGCTTTCGACAAGGAGACGGAAGAGCCTGTACATTGAAAATAAATAATATTAAAATTAATCTATATTATTAAAAGATACGTTAAAAAATAATTTCATAGGCAGCTACATATTGTTAGCAACGCAATAGGAAGTACATGGAATAACACTCACATGGCAATAACGCGTACGTGTGATCGGTAGTTAAAATTTTATGAGAACTTCTTGACTCAAAGGTCTGGTCAAATATCGTTGGTACAGCGCCTTTTTTCAAACGAGCATGCGCAAGAGGGACCTAATAGATTTTGAACATTTCATTTTAGTATTTATTATATTAATACATAAGAGAATGAAAAAATGTTAGCTAGAGGACATCTAAATGTTATCTATTATTTATTATAAAAATCTTGGTAAGATCTTACCTGCGCTATAAGTTTACCACTGTTGTCATATTTTACATATTCTTTAATTAATAAATGTTCCTCAAAATGTTTCTCACATACACGTTGATTTAATCTTAAAAATTCAATTCCTGGGATGGACATGATCCATCTTTCTCGAAGCGATTCATCATTTGGAACTTGAAAAGTCGAAGGATTCTTTCCACCTTTATATTTGTTAAGTTTACAACTGGGCACCGCGCAATACGAAGGCATATCACGATAATATATCCTTATTACGTGATTCACGGATAATACGTTATTGTTTCCTTGCTGGCAGGTTAAGTTTATTTATTTATTTACTTTTTTTCATTGCACGAGACGATAGTGGCGCCGCGTGACAAACAGAAAATCAAGATCATATTTACGTAAATACCTATCTATTATGTTTTTACAAGCTGGTAAATTCGATGGTGGAAAAAGTTTGGTGATATTGTCTTGTGTATATTATAAAAAATAAATAATAGAAATATTGTTTTAATAAGATGATAGGAATGTAGTATGCGAGAATTTGATAAAATAAGACGCGAAAATGCAAAATCAGCTTGTTTCAATCACTCGTAATTGAAAGGTTTCGTATCGAAATATATAATAAAAAATTGAAATACTGCTTTATCGACCGATTTCGAACATACTTATTTTTTCTGTCATTTATCGACCAGAAACGTAGCTTACGCAGATTTCCGTACGATGGCTAAGCAAACTTTCGAAGGGCGGCATTTTCTAATATCGAAACGATTCGTCTCGATATTAACCTATAAATAGAGGGCTCTATTATTTTCTAACTATCTTCGATCGATTAAAGATCATTTTCGTATATTTACATCTTCTCTCTGGTATACGATGTAACCTTTAATCGATATCTCACCGGTAACAAGTGTAAGTAAAAAAAAAAAATAGCAGCATTTATTTTGATCGTACTGAAATTTCGACGTACAAACGTTAAATGATGAACGGTTTCGATGCATTATCATAAACCATATCCAGCGATGGTATTGTATTGTCTATTGTATTAACTCGAAGGCACAGCCCGAGGGGTAGTTGGCCAGTTTTACGGGTGAAACGCGTTTAACGTTGCGTCGAATGACAAATAAGTATGCTAATGGAGGGCATTCTGGGAAGTTGAAATGCCGTGCATCCTTAGCTTTTGCACGAAAGAAGAAAGTTAACCTAAGTTGCTCGGTAGCCGGATGGTGCGTCTCGAAGGAAACACCGCTACCATCGCATCGGTGCAAACGGTCACGAAGAGGGAGGTGAATCGAGGAAAAGGAGGGACAGAATCGTGGGAGAGCAGAGAAGACGAAACACGGGTAGAGTTCGCTTCTTAAATAATAGAAAATTCCGAGGAAGTTGATAAGCCAGGGCGCGTTCAAACTTTTCACTCGGCGCCTTCCATTTCTTATTATAATGAATGCATATCGGCTTAGCCAAAGCTGGAAAGCTACAGCTATAAGAACCCTTTTACAGTTTTTGCGGCATCCGCTTCTTGGGCTACGTTGTACGATCATTGATTCTAGTATCAATGCATCGTGTATCGCGAAATAAATGAGATTTTTTCTTTCGTTCGGGAGTAGGTGATTAGATTGATTTTCAATGACGCGGCTTGTACAATAGTTATCGTTTTAGGGATCTCGGTATTTGATCGTACCTTTCATGGATTGGAGAAGTTTCGATTTTTGTCGCGCGTTGTCGAAGCGACAACTCTTTAGTTTTAGCGGAGTATAGAGGTATAAGTTCTAAAGGAAAGAGAAGGAAAGGGGAAGTCGCGTTTCGAAAAGATTTTTCTGGTTTCCTTCGGGAAAGTGAACAGTCAGGCCAGTCCTCGACGAGTTTAATTCGAAATGTCAGTGGCAGATTGCGTTCGTCGAACCACATGTTGCCAAACCAACATCCCACGAAATCGTCGGCCATCCCCGTGCACACGCAGCGACACAGACCGCGGAATATTTTGGCTATTATTATTACCTCGACTACCGTGTCTTCTAGCGCGACGGCTGCACGTTCGTCGACCAAAACGTGTTCCACAAAAGCGTTTTCATTCGGAATCGATCGCACGATTTTCCGTCCAACTGTTTCCTTTTCCTATCGAAATTGTATTCGTTTCTCGCGTGTCACGCTGCTGGCGAATTCGAAACCGTCGCGAGGCTCGATCGAGCAAGTTATCGAGATAATTGATAAAACTACTTTCGAACAATTATAACAGATTAGTATCATACGTACCCTATTGTTTCGCTTTAGACGATAGACGCTTTATCGATGGTAATTAAAGAGATAGAAAGGCAACGACGAGAAGGAAAATTATGCGAAAAGTTTGTAAACGTGGCTAAACATGGTTGCTTTATTAACGGTGGGAAAGGCAATAAAATTCACGGTGACAAATGGCCACGGTGGCATCGTAAAATCGTCGCGAAAAACTTTGGTAATTTAATAGGCAATTTCATGGAAATTTCGCGATTGTTGGCCTAACGACTATCGTGATGAAATTTTCAAGGTAGTCGAAGAATCTGGCGAAATACGTGGCTAGTATGGGTTAGTTCCACCGACGATAAGTAGTCGATAAATTAATCAGCGAGAATAACGGAGTTCTACTGCGACGCGTTGTTTCATATTCTCCCACGTATCGAAGTTTTAGTCGATTCGTTAAACGACAAATCGAAGCATTATATTAGTATTTTTTGACATTTGGTACAATTATCGAATGTTGTACTAGCTATCGTTGAATAGACCGCGATAAAAACCTCTGGTAACGATAGGAACATATGGATGTTCTTTCAATCGTGTTCGTGGATTCGGAGGACGAGGTTTTAAGAACGATACGAGTTAGATAAAATATTCGCTACCGACGACGAGGGTAAATATAAGCCGGTTGACAGGGATCATCTTGAACGAAGGGACACGTCTTCGATGCGATATGGTCGTTGATCCTTCGATGATTTCGTTTTTATCCCGTGAAATCGATCATCCGTCGCGTTGCTTGCTTCTTCGACATATTATAATGCGTATTATTAAGTTTCTAGGCTACGGGAAATTCTCCCGTACGGGATATCCTCCGGATATCGTAGTATTATTTCTACCTATACATAGGATTTATTTCTACGTATTTGCGAGTGTCTCGTTTATTTTTTTCACGATTCGATCATAAGTTAGATACTTCTATTGTAAAATAGCCTTTCTTAATCTTTCGGGACTCGAACGCGGTAAGATATCAAGATTCGACTGTACCAATAGCAATTATACAAATATGTACCCTCGTAATGGATGTAACTTGGAGGAGATTTCTACGAGATGTAGGAAAGCGTTAAAGGTCGTAATTTTAAACATTGGAATACTTTGGCGAATACCATCGTATTCATTCGCGCCACGATAGCTTGGTCGTGCTTTCAAAAGCTTAGAAAGCTACGTGTACGCGTATCTGTGTGTGTGCGCGCGTGCGTTTGCACGAAGCAAGAGAGAAAGAGTGGAGCGTATGGTCGAATGGATGGATATGCGGAGGACAGCGTGCCTCTTTGCGCAACCCCGAAAGCAATATATCGATGTTTAGCAACCAATAAACGGATCCCTCAAAGAGGGCTTTTATCGTAAAGCGCCTGGTCTGGGTGCTTCGATGGGTGGTCTCGTTCCTTCCATGAAACGTACTCGCTCGCACACGATTCAACGTTTTCAACCCTGGGATATATCTATGTGCGCCTATATGTATATGTATATTTATACGTATAGGTATGTGTATGTGTACGTGTAGAGGAGAGAAGAAAGGTGTGCGAGTGTAGGTTTAACGGTGGTAACCGAAGCACGCCGCTTTTATAGCTGAAAGTAAACGCATTTATAGAGCCGTTTTGCCACTACCTACGCGTCCGACGTAACCTCGCTTACAGACCATTTAACGCCGCTTTTATGATAATCTTATCAATAGGACGACTTTGCGAATCAGCTACCACTGTTTGCGGATTATTTACGACTCGCTGTCTATCGTTCGGTTGTCTTATCAGTCTGCCGTTTTCACCTGGAATTCTTCTATCAAACGATATCGATAAACTGGTACACGGCGTTTCCTATCGAGTGTAATTTTCCTTCTCGTCGATTGCTCTTCGTTTACATTTAATTCGACGAACACGAAAAAATTTCGTTTAACCGAGAAGAGGCACAAACAGCGAAGATAAGAAGCGAGATCGTAGAGTAAACGACCGATCCGAGATATTTTCTTCAGAAGGCTAACTTTTTACGCTCGTTTCATAATATTCCGGTATATCGTTTAGAGGAGCCGGATGTGACAGTCTGGGGGGAAAGAGATCAAGTAACACTAGGTGACGACGCGACGTGGTCGACCAGAGATCTTAAAGACGCCCTTATATCGTCCTCTAGCGTCGCGATGTCACTCGCAGCTTCTTCATAATTCTCTCGTGAAGTATAGGAATAGTTACAGCGAGTGTGGAATAACGATTTCGAGATCTTTCTCTGTTTGCAAGGTTTAAGCCTTAATAAACGTTCCGTTACAAGCCCGATCGAGTATAAAGAAAGGATTTTTAACGTTTTACACGAATTGCTTTTACGCAATTGTTAAATTACCTTTTCTTTCATTCTATTATCAGATCATTTACGAATATCCAATTGCATTACTTATACGCGTAAGTCTTTCGATTACGTTCTTATTATACCGATTTATATTTGAAAGTTATTATACCATCCGATACGCGTAGTTCATTAACTCGCAGTCATCTTGGAATGAGAATAAAGCTCAACTTCGGAGATCGAAAAGAACCGTGCAAGTAGGTATTCTCTTCGAGCCATAAATAAATATCGCGAGCAGCGAGGACGCAGACGATTCCAGAAAGAAGCTATGATTGCCAGCGCAACGGCAAGATGGCAGCCGAAACGTACTCGTCCCTCCATTCGAACGGAGAAGCGTGTGTGCTTTTCGACGGAATAGCTGTAGATACAGAAGCTCTGGCAAGATCTGTTGGAAATTCGTATAAAAGGTCAAAGTATTGTACGAATCAGCTTCCTGAAGGGACGAAGAGTTGGCAAGAAGGAAGAAAGACGCGGCGTCGGATCGAGTCGGAGGGTGTGCAAGAGCGGAAGGGGGTGGCAGTAAGAAAAAGAGAAGAAAAGAAAAGAAAAGAAAAGGAAAGAAAAGAGAAGAGGAGAAGAGAAGAGAACCGGACGCGGGCTTCCGTCGAGATCCTGGCGAAATCCTGCTGACCAGTGGGCAGTCGTCGTTGACGCGGCACGAAAGGTATTCGCGGGGAAAAGGCAGAGGCAGCGGATACTGCTCGGTGTTCTAGATTCGCCCACACCCAGGATTTCGGGGGAGAATCCTTGAAAAGCAGGAGACCAGAACGCGATTGGCCGCTCCGAAAGCTCCGTCTGAGCTCGGCCAATCGTGGCCCGAGCTGATAACGCTGGCGGTTCTTCTCTTCGTTCCGCCTCCTTCAAGACGGAACGC